TCCTCCACTGTGCAGTGCCTGCACCATCTTTGTTATTAGTCGCCGCTGTGACAGCAAATTCCATAATGCTTTGCGAGGAGCGCTCTCCCTCTAAAGTATTCCGGGATATATCTGCCTGTTCTGAGGCCTTTCCTTTTTTACACTTTGTAAACACTTTTGTACAGACAGACACTCTAGACTTCATCACAAACAGACCCTTAGTCAGTCCGGGACGGAGAGAACACCTCTAATGTCATCATCCTAAGCACAGGCTTCCCTCAGGGCTGCGTCCTGAGCCCCCAGCTGTTCACTCTGATGACACATGACTGCGTCCCCAGGTTCACTACCAATCACATCGTGAAGTTTGCAGACGACACCGCAGTGGTGGTCCTCATCAGAGACAACAACGACTAGGACTACAGAGAGGAGATTGAGCAACGGGTGGGCTGGTGCAGAGATAACAGCTTGATCCTGAACGTGGAGAAGACGAAGAAGATCGTTGTTGACTGCAGGAAGAACCGTCCTAACCATGCTCCACTGATCATCAATAGCTCAGCTGTAGAGGTGGTCAGCAGCACCAAATTCCTAGGGACGCACATCACAGACACCCTCAGCTGGACTGTAAACAGCACATCACTAGTCAAAAGGGCACAAGAGCACTTGTACTTCCTGCGGAGGATGAAGAGACCCCATCTGCCCGCACCCATCCTCACGACATTTTACAGAAGTACCTTAGAAAGTGCCTAAGAATGGAAGAAAGTAAGAAGAATGGTGAGAACAGCAGAGAGGATAATCAGGGTTCCTCTTTCCTCCATAAAAGACATTTTATCCCAGTGCTGCGTGTCCCGAGCCCCTAACATCATCAATGACCCCTCATACCCCCACCATGGACTGTTCTCCCTGCTGCTCTGTGGGAAGAGACTTCACAGCATTCGATGCAGGTCCAGCAGATTCTGCAACAATTTCTTCCCCAACGCCATCAGACGGCTGAACTGTTGAAAAATGCATCATATATATTAATGCTCTGAACTTCTATATAAATGGGTTTTTTGCACCTTGTTTTTTCTCCCACTCTGATTACATTTAATCACTGCTGCACTTTAAGGAATGGACATGTTTATTTACTGTCTGAAAAGCTGTACTAAACAAAATGTTGTCTTGTATACAGTCTGTGTATACAAAATGACAACAAAAGTTGTCTAAATCTAAGTATTTTTCTGTTACTTCCCTCGGCCATTTTCAAACCGCAATCAAAGAGGTGAGCTTCAATGACTGGCTGGCATGCGCAGAAAAAGATAGCTAACTGGGGACGAGCACGTAGGACCGCCTTACGTAAACATATCACCAGAATGATTGACAATTAGGAGGACCACTTATTTAGATGATCCACCTGGAAATAAAAGATCGTCCTCTATACCTTTAAATAAAGATTAGTATGCTATATCTTCCTTACTACAATGTGAGCTCCTTTGGCTACCAAAAGTGCCATAGTAACATAGTATTTGGTACTGAAATCTGAGCTGTTATTCAAGACATACCTTAACTAAGTAAAAATTACTTAACTAGGTATCAATATAAAAAGATATTGAAAATAATCACATTTCTTTAACTGAAAACAGAAGCAATTGTTCAAACTGCTTTTGAAATTATACAACATATTGATCATTAAAACAAAAAGCCTCCAAGTCATTTCAAATTAGTTTTTAATTCAGTGTATTTATATTGCACCATTTCACATCATATGTCCTTTAATGGCACTTTACAGAGTCAATATAATTAGATCATACAATCAGATTGGTTCAAAGTTTTCTGTCTAAGGGGAAAGAGCTGATTGCAATGACTCTTCAGCAATCCCTCACAGTAAGCATGAATGCAGCAACAGTGGATAGGAAGATAATTTTTTAACATGAATAAACCTTTACCAGAACCAGGCTTGGTGTGATTGTCCTTCTGATGAGGCCGACTCGGGTTCAAGAAAACATAAGCAGAGAGACAAAAAGAACATAGAAGCGCTGATCTATAAATACTCTCTATATTAGAAAAGGGCCTCTGTCTAGAAAAAATGCAGTTGAGCCGACGAGCTATCAGTCAGTTTTCATGTCAAAGGGATAAAAGAGTACATACAGATAGTCACAGTAAAATCCAACTCATCAAAATAGATAAAGATAAGCTGCTCTCTTGCTTTTAGCTGCAGAACAGAGCAGATAAACAACCAGAGTGCGGAGAATCCAGAGCGTCGAAACGTCAAAGCATCTAGACCTGAGTTGGACCCAGTGCACAAATCTCCCTCAATGTGAACGCACTATGTGGTGTTGATGGAAGCAGCCCAGCTGATATTCTCTTGCAGAGGGTGTTACACTTAACAGGAATAGAACAGATGAAGCTGATGGGAAATGCAGAGAGCATGAAGTTAGGAGTTGAACTAACAAATACTGGAGAATGGGAGAATAGTGGAAGCAAAAGATGAAAAGTGGTTACTCGGCCCTCCAGCAGTCTAAGGCTATAGCAGCATAACTGTAGAGATAGCTCAGGGTGACCTAAGCCACTCTAACTATAAGTTTTGCCAAAAAAGTAGATAGAGTGTCTGCATCATGGACTAAAACTGGTTGTTGGTTCCACAGGAGAGGAGCCTGAAAGCTAAAAGATCTGCCTCCCATTGTACTTTTAGAAATTCTAGGAACCACCTGTAAACCTGCAGATTGAGAGCAAAGCGGTCCCTTAGAATCATAAGAAACAATAAAATCTCAAAGATGGAGCTATTTTGTTTGGGGCTATCTAGCAGGAAACAAAAGAGAAGCTTGCATAGACTTTAGACTTTCAGCACAAGGTGCTCTTTATGTGAAAACTCCATGCCACATACATACGTTTTCCTTCATTCACAATTTTTAAGTCTCCTCTAAGAAAACTTGTTTTTTGTTTCAGTTATTGTTTGCAATTCATTAGTGTATGAAATAGGCATTCAAAAACTCTCTTGGCGATATCATTACAAATGAATTTCAGAGTTTAGGGACAGCATTTGAAAACTTTTGGAAGTTTTGCAACAAAATGTTTCTATAACCTTTGTTTATTTTTTTTTAATTGAAGCTTGCTGATCAGGGACCAAATAGACTATGTTAAAAGAAAGGTTTAGATCTGAATGCTTAATATTTTCTTTATGGCTGAAGAAAATATTAAATGCAGTTTATTGGGTTTGATGAGATTTAAGCTGTTGATTCCATTTAACCTTGTCTCTTAGTTACCCTGGTTCAATTCATTTTAAGATAAATCTAGTTAGGAAAGCATGTTTTAGCTGATTGACTTGAGACTTGACCAGGCACTTGGCATAAAGATTTAAGCCTTACTTGTAACTTGTAAAACAATAACTTGGTCCCTCAAATCAGAACATTTTACATCAATCTAAGGTCTCAGAAAAACAGTTATCAGGTTTAGCAAAAAACTATCTATTCTCAAGTCTTGGAAAGTCTTAGAAATTAACCTGTTAGTTCTGAGGTCTTAAAGAGACAATTTGCTACTTTTTACTGAAAAATATCTTGACAATGGCCTTTTAATTGACACTTTTCCACTAAAACGTTGTTTGATGAGCAGATTGACACCTCAGTAGTTCAGGGCCAATGCATCTTTAATCCTGTACCCTATTTTTCCTGAGCATACTTTGAGTCAAACGTTCCTGTGCTGTTTTTGCAGCTGTGTTAAATGGATCTAACTTAGCAAACAATCAAAGTGTTATATTCAAAAGGGATTTTGTGGATTCTAAGAAGCGACCAGCATCTAGTTCAACTCAGGCACAAATGGCATCTCCATGTAAGGTGAAAAAGTAAAGAAAACAAAAAACGTATTAAGTAGGAGTGCAAGCAACGAGAACGAGCCGAAGAGCGGCTCTGTTTTTTGACCACAAGTGGCAGTATCATAGAAAAGTCTGTAATGCCTCATTAAGAATAAACATATCAGGGCATCAAGTCATTGACTTGCAGAATGAACACCTCTTCTATGACCATGGTGGAAAGTTACTTACATTGTGTTCATGACTTTGCAGCAATACCATATTAAGCATGGATTCAGTAATAGTGGAGAGAAAAAACTGCTCTTTCACATAAGGAAACCTCGAGCGGAACCAGGCTGTTTTTAAACAGCCGTCCACAGTTCAAGCAGAAAGAGCAGACACACAAAAGAACACAGATTCAGAAATGCTTTTTTATTAAAGAAGGAAATGTTAGACCACCCTAATACAGAAGTTGACTTTGTATAGCAAAAAAATACTGTTTAAAGGGAACGCCGTTTTTTTTTTTACATTGGGCCCTTGATTTTATGTTATTTCATCATGTTTTCTCACCCATATGTGTTTTGTGTCATTTGGAGTTGTTCTGAAGATATTCTGTTAGGTTATATCCAGGTAACGTCTTCCTATGGGCAAACGTCTTGAAGGCACAAACTAAACTGTTCATAATTAATCATTTATGGTACGCCAGCATTCATAACATGTAGGCGAATCACTGTCCTCAAGACATCCATGGTATGATTAAGAGTCCTCTCAATCATCCAATTACTGGACTCAGGTGTGTTGAATCAAGGGAACATCAGAAAGTTGAAGGAACAGGAATTGCCCACCCCTGATCTATACCATGATGTGTTGACATGTGCCCAGCTGATGCCTTCCTCTTGGACAGTGAGACAAATAAACAGAGCTTCAGACCAGATGTACATGGCTACTATGACAACAAAATACAGTTTAAATTGATATGACTGTCACGCACGATATCAAAGATTAACTATAGACAGGAACAATGAGTTGGCCTGTAAGGAAACAGACAGGGACTCATAGCAGAGCTAGACAGCTAAAGATAATTTAAGCAAAGTTTTCATGTCAAAGCAAATGGTAACAATAACAGAAAATCAAGAAACAGCAGTAAGGACAGGGATAAGTAGCAAAGTAAACAATAACACTGCTATAATCCTATAAAAATACATGTTTTGTTGGTTTTGTGTTGCATAATGTTGAAAGTTTATTTTCTGTGTGTGTCCAGATCATGAAGATGTGGAACTGGGTTTTCACTGTGGGTGTCCTGCTGTCTTCCATCAAACTTGCTGAAGCTCAGGGTAAAGACATTCATCTTTTTCTCAGTCAGATTCGCCCCCAAAACCTAAAGGGATAATTGGAAAGTCTTGTGAAAAAAGTCCAACCATAGAAAACTATAGCTCTCTAATTCCTGTTTGTTTATAGTTTACATATAGGGACACACTCATGAGTCAATAGGCTCCTCATTTAAATAACTGATTTAAATGCTGTATTTCTTGAATTCTGTTTTAGCATTATCTCTTATGTATTTGACTAACAACTGCTAAAAAGTCTCAGGCACCAAAAGTATAAAACCTTCATGTCCTTTTTTTGCTTTAAATACAGTGATAATCTACAGGAACATCTTTTAGATAATACCATAAAGATATTTTTGTCTTCATTTCCATTTGAATGAATTGCTGCAATTATCTTCACTTTTTGGACTGTAGACCAATGTTTGTAAAGTACTAACCACCCAGCCTCGCTCTCATGCAAGTGAATAGCATATTACTGATGGATACATTTATGAACCATACCAATCCCCTCTATTTTCTGTATCAGTTTTGCTCCTGCTATTTGCTTTATTGCTGCACTTGATGGGTGTAACTTGTAGGAGCAAATTACACCCATCGTGTCAAGCAGTTGGTTGCAGTTTTTTTTAATTACTTAAATACTAAGGCTGCAGGTATTGTACAGACAAAATAGATCAGATTGTACAGTTAGATTGACTTATAGTTTTCTATCAAAGAAAAACCAGATGATTACATCAAGTCATTGACTTTGCAGGGTTCCCTCCCTCTTGATAAGCATGGGGTAGACAATAGATATTCTGTTGTATTGTGTCATTGACGCTTCTGCAATCCCTCACACCAAGCATGCATACAGCAACAGCAGAGAGGGAAAACTCCCTTTTAACAGTAGAAACCTCCAGCAGAACTAGGGTCAGGGTGAACGGCCTTAGCCTCGGGGTTTAAGGATACAGAAGACCACATACAAACAAAACTAGAAACACTGATCCATAAATACGTTCTATGTTAGAAAAGATAGCAGTAAACTTAAGTAAAAAGTTAGACAGATGAGCTGTTTTCATGTAAAGTGGTTGAAAGAGAGTGCATGCAGTTAGTCATAGTAACATCTGAGACCATATCTACTCTGATGTACTCTGTTGGATTAAGATGTGGTCTGTTAATTAGAGATTGACTGACGCTGTTTTTTTTTTTTTGTAAGGCTGATGCAGACACTGATTATTTTGACATCAGTGTAACCATTCCTCAACATGTGCTGCAAATATTTTTAGCCCGATTCTTGGGGCGTTTTCTTTCTCCATTTGCTTGATAGAAGCACATAATGTCATCAAATGTTACCTAGGTCTTAATTTAAACAAAAAAAAAACAAACAATAAAACTCTCAGAAACCGAAACAAAATATTAACAATATATAGCAAATGGAGGGAAGCAACAAAGTGTGCAGTCTGCTGTAGTCCAAATCCGATGAAGGTATTGTTTCTCAGATAGTGGGAGCATGGTTAAGTATTAACAGAATTCATTCCAGTCATGTTTAACAAATCATTGATACAAGCACAAATTACAGAGGAAAATCTCACCATCAATTAGGCCCTTACGACCCAGCCATTTCAGGGGAGACCCACTGAAAAGGCAGAGAGCTTCTGCTCACTTTCCCTTTTTATCAAAATGTCAGTCAGCCTGTCTCCCTCCCAAGAACCCTACAGCATTAGCATATAAGGTGAAGCTGGAGCCGCTCTCTCCACCATATGTCAGCATAAGAATGTCCATTTTGACTGACCCACACAGAAGTGTGAACAGATATAGAAATGAACAGAGGTAATAGTTATTTAAAACATAAAATAAAATAAAATAAAATAAAAAGAAATTACTCTTCAACAAGTCAATGGGATCTCAAGGCAATGCTGCTGAATGCACTTATGAATTTTTGTTCTGTTATAGTGGTCGATACCGGTATAAGGAAAAAAACACACAAAAAAAACACGCATCAGCTAAAAATATCGGGAAGCTGATGTTTGTATCTGTCACAGTATCCACTGATACTGTGAGGCTGGAGTACAGCATGCTCATCAACATGTTCAAGAAACCAGTTAGAGAAGATTTGAACTTTTTGATACAGTAGCTCCCCATTCCCCCTCACTTGTTCTGTGAATTACCGTGCTGCAAGTCGTCATCATCAGAAGATGTATAAAATATGGTCATAAATGATGAAATGAAGCCATAAATTATTACTTTTTTCTTAATCAGGAGCTTGAATGAAATGTTTAAGCATGCACTCATATTTTGTTCGTCCTAAGGTCAAGCAAACATGCTTTTCTTAATCTAAAATTCAGTAGTAATAGCAGGCTCTGTAGCTAACAGTAATGGAGTGACAGGTTACATTTTACTTTATATTAGCTTAAAAATTCTTGACATTATAAAACAGTATTTCAAAGGGCCATGCAGCCTGCTGCAAAGACTCAAATAAAGTAAGTGGAGCAAGCATTGCAGCTGAATCCCAAATTGCCAGGTATGTAATTGAAGATTTGTCAGATAAATACCTTACCGTCATGACTTAAAAAAATAGAAATGAGTTCCACTAAATGCTCATGAAGTTGTTTATAAGATGCTGATTGTACTTTACTTTGCAGGTAGGTGTAATAATCTGCAGGCAGCAGACATTGTGTTCCTGATCGATGGCTCTTCCAGTATTGGACGCGCAAACTTCATTCAGGTGAAAAACTTTATGGCTGATATTGTGAAGCCTTTTGCCAGTTCTGTCAGCGAGTCAGGGGTCCGGGTTGGAGCTGTACAATACAGTGATACATCAAGGTAATAGACAGCATTATTAAATGTTTTTTTTTCTCCCCCCTACTTTAGCACCACATTTTTGTATTACTTATGCATCTCTTTCTTCAGGGTGGAGTTCAACTTTAATACACACCTAACAGGCACCGATGTTGTCAATGCCGTGCAAAATATAAATTATAAAGGTGGAAACACAAGGACTGGAGCTGGTCTAAAGTATGTTTCTGATAACTTCTTCAACCCTACCTCCACCCGAGATGTCCCAAAGGTATACCTTTCATGACATTTAATCTTTATTTACTGGCTGATACAAGGGACTAGTTGCTAACTCTACCTACCATAACCTTTTCAGGTCACCATTCTGATCACAGATGGGAAATCACAAGACCAAGTAGAGGAACCAGCTCAGAAGCTACGTAGTCAGGGAGTTAACATTTTTGCAGTTGGTATGTTTCTTATCTACAGCCTTTTGGCTTTACTATCAATAAGAAATGTAATGAATATTGTGCTGCTTTATTTTAACCTCTTAAAACTTTAAACATTTAAGGTATCAAGAGTGCAGACAGGAGTGAACTTGCTCAGGTTTCCTCAAAGCCCAGCAGTGATTTCACTACGTTTGTAGGAGACTTTAAGCTGCTGAATACTCTCCTTCCTCTTGTGAGCCCAAAAGTGTGCTCAGCTGCAGGGGGAGTGTATGCAAGTGATGGTATGTGTATGCTTAACATCATTATTTAGAAATCTATTTTTCACATTCTACTGCATCAACCGCTCAAACTTCATTAAATTTATTTTGATTTTATGACATTTAAGAACTCAATATGGTGCATTGTTGTTAATTGAAAGAAAACACATTTCTATCTTTTCAAAAAAGAAATCCTAGAAAGTACATTGTTGCCCGTTTTACTCCATTGCATCTAAATTAAAAATATTACCAATTGTCTTTAGAGTTTACCATAGACAGAGTCCACTTTTGTACGATTAAACCTCAGTATGAATGCAAGTGTTTGAGCACACAGCCTCAGGAAAACCAAGTATAAATCATAATTTACATGCAAACTCAAATAAGAATGTCATGATAAAAGGTTTGGAATCTGTTAGCATAGTGCACTCCAGGGACTGAAAAAAGTTATTGTAAAAATAAAGGTGAAGAAAATATTTTAACGGTACCATTACTAAAAACCATGGAGAAAAAGATACAACATGAAGGAAGATACTTCAGGTAGTCCAGCTGAAGTCAGTGCCTGAAAATATATAAGAAACTCTGGAAAGAAAATTACTGATACAGGGATACCGAAGATAACACTATTTGATGGTACATCAGTTGCAACTTGCAATAGTTACATATTTCCTCCCTTCTGTATTTGTATTGTGTGCATCCGGCACGCTCTGTGATCTATGTTATTTTAGGTGCTTTTACCTCGGTCAAGTTTGGGCATCTACTGCAGCAGGGCATGCAAAGTGTAAATGATTGACTCCTCAAATATTACAAAACGAATGTTGCTTTCCAAACAGACAGCTAGCTTATTGATAGAAGATTTATGATTTGAACTCCCCTGTCATGGGTGCATTCCTTGAAATCTGATCGATCTTTAGTTTTTTTTTTTTTTTTAAGAGGAATAGGTATACAAAATCTGCTTCTGGATGTGAAATGCTATATATGCACACCAAATCACTGCATAGCAACAAAACCGAGCTGTAAGTTAACTGATGGTGACTAAATATGAATACATGCCACTCATAAATGATTTTTATTATAAACAATAAAAAAAATCCTTTTACTTCCTCTTTACATTTACTCCCTATCTGTGTTATTTGATATGTTTAGTATCACTAAAGAACTCATAGGTTTGTGGTTGAAACTTGAGAAAAAGTGAAGAGTTAATGGTAATAAATGCTTTTACAACACGGCATAAATACATGTTATTTTGGAAAGTAAGTCACATTTATCTTCATGTCTCCCATTCCTGTCAGAGGCCTTTTCAGGTCCATCTGATCTTCAGTTCACTGGTCAAACAACTGATTCTCTCCGATTTCGATGGAGTCCTGCAGGGGGCCCTGTGAGCGGCTATGCCATCCAGTATGTGCCCCTCTCTGGTCTGGGTCAGCCAATTGTTGCAGAATTAAGAGAGGTGATTCCAACTTCTCAAAGGTTTTGCTTTGTGACACTTGGAAATGAGAACCCCACATTTATCTGAGAACTGACTGAAAAGCTTAACTGTAATCTTGGAGGATAAAGTCAATCCTACTTTGAGAGAAATATGCATTCAGGCTTAGTATAAACATGTCTAATGGGTGTCCTCTGGATGTAGGCACAATAGAGATTAAAGCATGGCAGACTTAAATTTAAGGCTCTTGTCCGTTATTATAATCATGTAAAACTCCTTTAGTTCGTCTGTTTCTAGCAACATTCTGTGCAAAAATTCTCAGTGAGAGATTGGTACAAATCAGAGGTGTGTCTGTCTCTACAGGAAAGGCTCTCTGCCAGTCAGAGGACGTTCACTGCACGAGAGCTCAAGTCAGGAACAGATTACCTGGTGACTGTCATCGCCCAGTACCCCAACAGTGTTGGAGAGTCTGTTTCTGCAAAGCAGCGAACCAGTAAGAACTGACGGCAGACAAAACAGTGTTTAATTAACACTAATAAATCTTATCTTGTCATTTTCTTTTTCTCTCCCAGGATCATTACCAGGAGTCTCCAGCCTACGTTTGGTGCAGGCCGGGTTCTTCTCCCTCTCTATTGAATGGGATAAACCATCATCTTCGCTGCAGGGCTATAGGCTCACCTATGGGCCACGAGGTCAGGCGAACACATATTTCTGTCATTTATTTACAGTATTTATTAGAGTTCTAAGGTTTTTTCCTCTAATCAACATCATCCTTTTAATGTTTCCTTTCCTGAGTGATCAAAGTGAAGGATTATAATGAAGTAGATGCAGTAGTCAAAAACTGTTAACTGGTTTGTAACAAGTTGGAACAGTGTCAAGAATGTGAAGGAGTTTGAGTAAAGCCTGATGAACACTGAAGTACCCCTAAGCACTGTCTTGGAGAGTGTTACTGCCTCAGCCATGACTTAATAAACTAAATATATTAATCTTCATAGGTGTGAAATAAGGTAAATTTAACCCGTTTCATAGACTGCAAGCAATTAGTAATGTAATATTGAATTTCTGAAGGCAGGGTGTGTCAAGAGGGCTAGGTGATTACACTGTGATTCAGAGGGGTAAATTGCCCCCTGAGGGATGATATGGTTTCTCCCACTAAACATGTGGCAGGAGTCCCAGCCTCATTCCTTTGAGGAATCTCATGCTCATTTTCAGACAGATAGATGCCTGATAGCAATTGTGGTGCTTTTCTTTATTATTTTTATGTTTTAGAATAGCCTTAAAATTAAGTTTCTCACCTTAAGCCCATTTAAAGTAGAATGAAAAAGCATGTATATTTAATGTGGACAAACATTCATATCATTTACAGCTAAGATTTAAATCTTACTGCAATGCTGGTTAACCCTTTGAGTATCTTTTGTGCAATAACTGCCCGTTTGCATGCCCACCATTCCTCTTTTTGCCCTGTGTATTCATCAGGACAACCAGCGGCTCAATTGTTGGAGCAGTCGCTGTCTGCAGATACCACCTCTATCACGTTGGAGTCTCTTCAGCCTGACACAGAGTATGTCATCAACCTTTACCCTCTGTTCTCCAGAAACGGTGCTTCCCCATCTGTCCTCAATGCTCGAACATGTAAGTTAATTCTGTCTGATACCTTTGAATCTATTGGGTGATCAGTTTGTTTTAGATAAACAGAACAAACTTAGTAGAGTTTGATAAAGCCTTTATACTTCAATACAGAAAAAAGAAAATGTTTATATCTATTCCCTTCTGTGTCTCCTTGCACTTCTGATCGCTTCAGTGGTCCTGGAGGCAGTGCAGCAGTTAACAGTTGAGACTATGTCAGAAAGCAGTATTCGTGTGAACTGGAGACGAGTCACTGGTGCACGAGCATACCGTTTGGTATGGGGACCATTTACAGGTTGGGAATATATTTTCTTTTCAATGTGTCACCTTAAAATCTATGATTTCTAGGATGTTAATGTTGTGCTCTTCCTATAAGGTCGCACTGTGGAGACTGTGGAAGTGGCAGGTGACACTGAGCTCTATACTTTGTCTAGCCTGCAGCCTGATACAGAGTACATTGTCACCATTATCCCACTGTATGAGGGCAACACTGAGGGGCCCAGAGCTACAGCCAGATTCAAGATAGGTATGATTGAATTGTTCTTTTCAAGTATCTCTTTGTGATGTTTTTTTTACTATTAACCCATCGTTTATGTATCTTAATCTACCTATAATTTCTAACAGGCAGCAATTAAATGCAATACTTTATATAAGTTTGGACCTATGCTGTGCACAGTATAAAGCAGTCATTTTAGTTACATTTCTTAAGGCAACAATAGTTTCAAGACTAGTGCTTGTTCCCTCTGCCTCCAAAAGGGTTTGGTTTTTGTGAAGTGTTGTTAATTTTAAAAGCACACACACACAAAAAAAAATCTGAAATTCTACTAAAAATCATGCAATGCTGTAAAGGTGTAGATACATTTTTAAATGTGTTCTTTTGGGTTTTTGAAACAACTTAGGACTCACCTCTGTGCCTATCATTGTCTATTCTTTTAATGTTGAAGTTACCTTTTTATTTAGATTTGAGGTAACTGGGCAAGGCTTTTGGACAAGAAAAATACATTTTAATATCCAGAACATCTTTCTGTTTTAAGTATCTGTCTTAGAATATGCATTAAATGGTAAAGAATATTAAGAAAAAACACCAAAATTCCTCTTGGAAAGTTTTAATCCTAGTATAAATAGGACTTTAAATCCTAAAACTGTGGTTTCCTTTAAGTAATAGCCTTACATGTAATTCATCTTTACCTCAGTATTAGGTGCTTTAAGATGATCACAGTGGTTATAACCTCACATTGTAATTTTGCCTTAGCTTAATTATTGCCCTTTTGTCTGTGTGTGAGACAAGAGCCAACGTCCTTTACAGTCTTCATTTTTTTCAGAGAAACATTCACCAATTGGAAAAAAACAAAACTCATTTTTGAGCATTATCATGTGTTTCACTGACATTCTGTAAACCATTAAGAATCCTCTTTGAAAAGGGGAATGCCCTCCCTTTTAACCGTCCAAACACAGAGACAGGAAATGAGGAGACAAAAAAGAAAACAGCAATCGTTGCGTCTGTTGGTCTCTCTTTTGAAAGCTGTACACATGTTTCTATTTAGGTCAGACAGAAACAGTCATAGCCTGGTCCTTTCATGTGTGATGCCCATATGGTCTTACGGAGTTACTGCAGGGCTGCTGAGCTACTGAGCAGATATATGTGGAGAAAGATTTTTAGCTTCCAAAAACCTCTAAAGTTTCTACTGTGTTTGGGTTTGTCATTTTTGTGGTGTTGCATTATAGTTTTATTTTTTCTTTTTTGACTGGAAAAGATAAAAGAGAAAAAGTTATTACATTGTGTTTACCCATCATGCTCTTCTCAGAACGTCAAGAACAGCAGGTCCTCACAGCAGCAACCACAGGACCATCCTCAATCCGCCTAAACTGGAGAGTGATCCGGGCTGCTAGAGGCTATCGCCTGGAGTGGAGGGAGGGAGAAGGTCAGATGAGCATGCATCATGGTGGCTCAAATGCATCTTTCTCATCTGGGCTCTAAAAACATACCAACAAGCACACATTTTTCTAATACCATGTAGACACTGTTTTTAGATTTGATAAAAGGCAGGACATTCTTCCTCCTTACCCATGATCTTAGCTCTCTTTGTAGTTTCTTTTTCAAATTTTCAAATCATTAAAATCTGTTATTTGTTAGCTATTATTAAATTTCAACCCTCAAAGCAACATTCCTACATTATGAGAGTCTTTCTAATCTTTACCGACTGTAAAATATTCTTCAGTTCTCTAAAGCTGGGCTTACACTGTGCCCTTTTCGGGGCACAGTGTAAGCCCATCGGAGAGAACTTTCCGATCGGCCCGACTTTCAGCCTGATCGTGCATCGTGTGGTGTACAGGGGGTAACGAGGGGCGATCAGCCTCTCACGACAACCTCCCGATCAGGAATCGTGATGTCTGGAGAAAATCAAACATGTTTGATCTTCAGTCGACAGTTGTGGGCAAATCGCTCAATGGGCATAGGCAAACAAGGATTCTTCTTCTTCCTCTCAGAGAAAAACACAGAAGCATGGCAGGGGTGCTGGTGAAATGGAGTTCTTTCTGTAAAAAGGACAGACCGTAGTAGCCACGTTTGCTCAGCCATATCTTTGTCCAAATACGTTTCGGCCTTTTTTTTTTTTTTAAGGCAGTCAGCACAAAATTGCCAAGTCAGCGTGTTTCACTCTAGTGAGCTTCATATTCTTCTTCTACTGGTTTGGGTTCCGGATAGATTAGTCCCATTATTGCCATCTCTCTTCAGCGCTGAGTCCAATGTAGTTTTTAAATGTGCATGTGCAGTGTCGGGCAGCACCTGCATCGTGAGCTGTGAGCTCACACTGTACGAAGAAACCACAGGGTTTCGTCGTACAGTGTGAGCTGCAGCTGCGAGCAACGACTGAAAATATCGTACAGTGTATGTCCGGCTTAATACTACACTTACATATTTGCTGAATCTGAGTATGCAAAACATATCAATATGTACTACAGAATATATTTCCGTAACATGAAGTAATTTTATATCTCTTAAGAGAATTTTAAAGCTAAAAAGCATCTTTTTCTAAATTGGTACCTTTTTTCAAAGATTAAGGTTCAGATTTTGGTTTTGGTGGTTTTATTGTTACATTTTTAAATAAGCATTTACTTATACCTCTTTAACTTTATTACATTTTAATGCATAAAACTTTGTGTTATATAGAAATGAAAGGTTTAGTGATTTAAGATACCTGTTCTTGATGACTTTAATAGGTACTAATCTAAGGCCTTCCCCAGTATATTAGGTAAACTGTTCTAAAAGAGTTGGTTTACAGATCCTACACAGTTTTTACAATTCATGAGGGACGTAGTTCATTTCAGATATGACCGAAGAATGGTCGCATTGCCCCCCTGAAAAATAAATCTTTTCAGTGAAAGCACATTTTCTAGCTGCAGCAAGCAGAAATGTTTTCATTTGAACTAGTGATGAGTATCAGGCCTTCTAATGTTGCAGCGTGGTTTGTTTCTGTAGGAAGTCCTATCCAGAGCCTGTCCTTTCCTCAAAGCTCCACCAACTATGAGCTAACAGGGCTCCAACCAAATACAGAGTACATCTTCACGCTATACACGCTGTATGAGGGCCGTGAAGAGGCCACACCTGTGTCCACTGAAGACAGAGGTCAGTCAGCAGCTTGTGATTTATTTATGTCTAAGTTATGCATCATGTTGGTAGTAAACTATCTGTCATGAATTATTCCTGAAATATTGCAGAGAAGCAGCCAGTAGGAAGTGTGTCCAACCTGAGAGTGGTGGAGTCCCTTGGGAGCACAGTCCGCATTGGGTGGACGGGTGTGGCAGGGGCCACACAGTACCGGATTGTTATCTTGAACACTGAGGGTATATGACTATATTTTTATGGTTTCTGTTTTGTTTTGCTTTTTAATGAATTTAGAAATAATAGTAACTTCTGCTTTTTCTCGCATCATCTTAGATGAAACAGAGACAATCCAGGTTATTCCTGGAAACCAGAGGATCCTCGACTTAAGCGATCTGACAGTGGGCGTTTCATACGGTGTTAGCGTCACCGCATTGGTAGGAGTTAATGAAGGAAAGACAGTTACTGTCTACATCAAACCAGGTGAGCCCAATGATTTATTAGAACATTCATGAAAGATTAGCTATGCTAAATGGCATGAAAGCTGTACAAAACGAAATTTCGTTTTGTATATACTCTGTGTATACAAAATGTCAATAAAGGTTGTCTGAGTCTAAGTAATGTATTTGTTTTTCCAGCAGTATAGCTAGGATATATAACATGTTCAATGTTAAATAATGTACAAAACTTCTGTTTATTGCAGAGCCAGCTGCAGGGAGAGTGACCAATCTCAGAATAACAAATGTAAACAGTCGGAGAATCCGCATTGTCTGGCAAGGTGTTACTGGTGCAACAGGTTATAGAGTTACCTGGAGACAAGGCAACAGTAAGTGGATTACAGTGGATTACAAACCCATTTGAAGATGTCTTTTAACTTATGAGGCAATAATCATTTTAAAACCTTTTCTATCTTTAATGCAACATCTAACAAAAAATGTGATGATAAAATATAAAAAAAGAACATTTGCTAATATCAGTTTAAGTCAATTTGCACAAATTGTATGTTGTGATGTCTTATGATTGACTTTTATCCTCTGGTCTTGTTTTGTACAAGTTTTCAGCCTTCCTTTACTGTGATACTTGTGCACCCATCTGACTAGCCCTTTCCAGCCACTTAAATTACCTCCTTTAAGTCTTTATTTATTATTTTTAGTTGAATGTCTTTTATTCACTGTGTTGCTGAAAATTAAAAACCTCATCACCTCATCAGAATTTCATCTTTAGTTTTCCCTGGAAATACTTGAAGGTTTTAGGATTAAATCCAAATGCTCTAAAGAACTGGTCATGTTTTTACCCTTCACAAAAACACACAGTTCCATCAGAGGAAAAGTAGCCCCAGAGTATGACAACACCTCCACCCTGTTTCACTGTGGGAATGGTAATTTACATTGTTGCCAAACACCTCTGCACCCTTGATGAAAATCTTCCTACAATAAGGTCTTCCTTCCCTCTTCCTTGGTTTATAAATAAAGTTTTAAATGAGCATTTGAGATAGGGATCAAGTGAGGAGATTGGTCAGATTTACAGTTTTTGGGTTGTTTGAAGGCCATTAAACATGCATAACTTTAACCATGTTAAATATTTGAATTCATAATAATAAAGTATATATTTCTTAATTCTTTATTCTACTGTGCAGATGCAGAACAATCTCGTCTTCTGGGACCGGAGCCTACCCTTTTCACTATTGATGGCCTGCAACCAGATGAGGCTCTTGTAATTGGTGTCGCCCCTATTGTTAATCAACGTGTTGGTGAAGCCGTCACTCTGTCTGCAAGAACAAATCCCTCTAGTGGAGCATTGTCTGGGCTTCGCATTACTGAAATCTCATCACAGAGTATACGAATTGCATGGTCACCCTTTTCTCGGGCTACTGGATATAAGATCACTTGGAGCCGTGAAGATGGTAAGGAATTTTTTGCCATAGATACGGTTACAATCAAGGGTAAATTATGGTGTCTCTGAAGACCAAATCACATCAGCAAACCTTAAAAAACAACTACAAATTAAAAGAAAGCAACCACAAATTTAAAACCACCACAGCATATTCAAAATTACAATGACATAAACTTGAATGAAATACAACTAAAAAAGTCAACAATATATTTAGAATCACAATAACATATTCAGCTTTTTTAATTTTACTTTTTTCAATGTATGTCCTGATTCAAACTATTCCTGGATAGCTATGTTTGGAGGACTGATAACATTCATTTTTTGAAGAACAATTGGAACAGGTAGGTCTGATTTTTCCTACTGGTATCTACCTCTTCGGTAGGTTCATGTCATTGTGTTTCTGAAAATGTGAGTCTGAGCATGTTGCATTTTATTATTGGTATCCATTTCAAGATAAAGTAATCATGTTCATAAGTATGTTGTTTTGGTTTTGAATATTTTGTTGATTTTTTTCTTTTATTTATTGTCGTGTTTGAGGATCTGTTGATGTGGTTTCCACCTCAGGGCCACAATAGTATATACATTCAGTTACATAACATTCAACATTCTGACACATTAAATCAAGTTTTATTGATTTTACTTGTATTCTATGTTACAGATTAAAACAAAGTTACACACATTTTTTTATTTTTATATATATATTTTTTTTTTTACAAGTAATCAAAAATGCGACCGCTGACCACTTTTGCACATCCAGAGACTGAATTTCTTCTCTCCCACCTAAGAAATATCTCAAACTCAGCCAGATTAAGTATAGAGCTTTAATAAACATCAGTTTTTTTTATTTTTTACAAGATTATAATTTGCATTTAGGTTTAAATGGTTACTTGACCATTCTAACACAAACACATCCTTCGATCCAAACGTCCACTGTAAATCTGCTTATAGGCTAAAGGTTTCTTTCCTGTTGGAAGGTCAACCTCTGCCCACTTCTTAATACTTTCAGAGCTTCCAACAGGTTTTCTACCAGGGTTCTACCCTAAACCGTTCCATCTATCTTTCAATGAATATGATTTCCCTCGTTTTCTATGACAAAAAAAGACTAAAAAAAAAAAAAAAAAGATATTCTCTATGCATCTTGTCACACCATGTGACACTGAGGCGACTTGAGGGCACTGCAGTATTAGTTTTTTAGCAACACATACCAATGTAAATTTACACTTTGTTCATCTCCTGCTTGGCTGCTTCCCTCACTCAAAAACTATCTCAATCATTTTAGGCCAGGGGTCTTCAGTATTTACAATGAAAAATAGCATGTTTTCTCCTCTGCTACTAAAGAGAATATGTCAACAAGGTCCCTGTCACCCTCACAATCTGCTTGACCCCAGAGGAAAACTTACCTTTTAAGCTTTCAGAATACTTACAATATGAATTTAGTTTCATTTGATGGTGACATTATTAATGAAAGATTTTGATAGTGCTGTAAAACAAAATAACTAACATACAATATATATGTTTGATAAAAACAATCCATATATGTGGAGGGAAAAAAACATATTTACAACATTTTAAACCTTTTTAAATGTTTGTATTTCATCGTTACTGTTAGTGCCATTCTCTTATGGCAAATCTATCTGTATAAAAAAATCTTTAAATTTATCATTTAGGCCCTAAAGAGCCTCAACTAAAAAGTAACAGGCTCACACTGTCGGAGGACAAGCTAGTCTTTATGTTTGCATTTGTGCTGTTTCCTTTCTATTCCCACAACATGCAAAGTAATAATCTATAGAGCTGTGTGAGATATTTAAAGCTTGGTTATTTTTATATAACCTAAATCACTTTAAGTTTCTTCACAAACCGCTGAGATCTTTACAGAACACCCATAGAAATGCTGTGGTATAAATTACTCACAGGCTGACTCAATTTACTGATTAGTTGACCTCTGAAGGCAATTCGTTGCCCTCTATTTGATTTATGGGGGGAGCGAGTAGGGGTCCAATTATACAATCCTTTTCTGGCTTTTGTCAATAATTAAATTTTTTAGAAGATATAGACTTTTCATTTTGCACTACCTGATATTAGTCCATCACATAAAAATCCAATAAAATACATTGACATTTGTGTTTCTAATGTTGCCAAATGATGGAGGAATATAAACACTTTTGCAAGCCAATGCATGTGAGTTTAAGGGTATCAGTTAATGCTAAACATCGTATATCTCTCCATACAGGAACTGAAACAACACGAACCATAGGTGCAGATGTCTCTTCCTACATCATAGATGGACTTCGGCCTAACTCAGCGTACACTGTACAGGTTTCTACTCTTGTTGGCTCTCGGGAAGGAACTCCAGCTATTCTCAGGGTTAGAACAGGTGTGTGGTTGAATTTCTCCATTGTTCCTGCTTTCAGGAATGTTTCTGATGCAGCTGGAAAAAAGCCTTAAAATATTGAAAGTGTAAAATGTTTTGGTTCCAATTCACTCAGAATCAGAATCGTTGGTGGGAACAGTAACATCGCTTCAAGTACAGGAAACCCGAGGGGAAGTGGTCCGAGTTTCCTGGGTTGGGGTCCAGGGAGCAACAGCCTACCGCGTCACTTGGAGGAGAATTGATGGTAGTTTTTTTTTTTGCACAGTTCTTGGAAAAAATCTGTTCATCTTTCTGTTCCATAATGCAGCTATGCTACCACCTGCCCGATTGATCTGCTGGAGAAACTGCTGACTCTGAGCCACTTGTAGCAATAGGCCTGATCCGACTGCCAACCTGTCCTGTTTGGATTAAACACTTTAACTTAACCGTTGTAAAAATGTTTGAATTGTTTTGTTTTCACATAAAGATTCTTTGAGCTTATTGCTTCCACATCAAAATTCGTTAGAATGAAACTGTATTGTTTTTTTGTTGGAAGAAAGATTTACACTTTCCTATTAAAGCCACTTTTTCCCTTAACAAACTGCTTGTTTGATCATGACTCTCTGCTGCATAGATGGGGTAGAACAAAGCCAGCTGGTGAGTAGAGATGTGACATCTCTGGATTTGGACCAACTTGATCCCGGCGTTCAGTATGAGGTTCAGGTCGTCGCTTTAGTAGAAAACAGAGAAGGCGCGCCTGTTTCTGTCAGAGTCACCACACGTGAGTCTAATTTTTCAGTGTTAGACACATCTAATGAGGAAACAGGATAGCATGGGGACTTATGACCTTGTGTGTCCTCCATTTGTACAGCTGGTTATGTCACCCCACCTTCGCCACTACCAAACACCACTTTACGAGCCACAGAGGTTACTCAGGATTCCGTGCGGCTGAGCTGGGCTCTCCTTCCTGGTGCCACAGGATACATTCTTCGATGGAAAGAGGAGACAGGTGACAAAAGGAACATTTGCTTTATAGTTTGTTTCACAACCAAATTTGTTTGATGATTTTATGTATCTATATGTATCAGATGTGGGTAGGGGACTGTCTGTCACGCTGCCTGCATTGTCCAGCTCGTACCTGGTGACCGGGCTGCGTTTGGGCCGCAGATACAGATTCACCATCCAGCCTACTTTTGTAGGCGGAGTTTCAGCCGAGACTTTTGTAGATGAACGCACAGGTAATACACTGTCTTTCTTGTCTTCACTGTCTTTCCATTCTTAATTTTAATTATTGGCTCTGACCAGGTAGCATTTGTTAATTGTTGTGAACCGCTTTCCCTCCAGTGTGTCTGGGTGGACGTCTTGATGTGGTGTTTCTGGTGCCTGCATCCACTGATCGGGCTGACCTGGCTAGACCGCTGAGGGACCTTGTTACCAGTGCGGCAGGGTCACTTGCTGCTATTGGGCCTCAAGACTCTCAGGTGCATTTGGTGAAATCCTAAGCAAAGAAAAAAATGGTTGGTTGAAACACTAATTGATTTTCTGGTTATAGGTAGGGGTGGTTGTATACAGTTTTAGACCCAAAAGCTGGTTCCTGCTCAGTCGTCATTCCAGATCTGACACACTGCTCCAAGAGATCCAGTCAACACCCTTTGATGAAAGCCCAGGGAACAACATAGGTCTGTGTTTAAAACAAAAATATTTTATAGAATAATCCAATAAACACTTGGTTTAGTGTGGCTATATGCAGTTGTGACTTTAGCTGTACTACTCTGTATTAGGTGAGGCGGTGAGGTTCACCCGGCAATACATGCTGACCCCCACAGCTGGAAGGAGGCCCAGGGTGCCTGGAGCAATCGTGATCATTGCTGACAGAAAATCTGTGGACAACCTGACCCTTGCAGTCAGCAGCCTAAGAGATGCAGGTGTGAGGCACTGAAGCTGTGATTGTATGCTGAATGAGTCACTGAAGTTAAGATGTATGCTGGTGAAGGTTCATCCAGGTCATAGTCATTCCATAGTCATTTTTTGGCCATAGTCATTTTTGGAAGTTAAGATGTAGTAGAGTGGTGGCCTAGTGGTTAGGACACAGAGCTTGGAATCCTGAGGTTCTGAGTCTGAGCCCAACTTCCACAAACTGCCACTCTGGGTCTCTGAGCAAGACCCTTAACCCCCCTATTGCTCCCGACAATGGCAGCCCTCTGCCCTCCAAGGAGATGGGTTAAATGCAGATGTAAATTTCTGCAATGTGAGATCAGTAAAGTTTAATTATTTATTATGTTTTATCACTGCTCTGTCTAACCATTTGAAAAGTTGAGCCCCTGTCATAAATGCATTTTTTAGTTAATCTTTAGTTGTGTCCTTTATAATGCATTAAATGTTAAGGGAAAACATGTGGTAAAAAGAAAAATTGTTAAGAGCAAAAACTAAAGGTCAGTAATGAAGATATTTCTATAGATTTAGGTCTTGCAAGTATTGATGTCTCTTAAACCTTTGGACATTTTCTCACATTACATAAAAAAACTGCTTTGTATTCCATTTTGAATTTTAAAAGAGAAAATAATATATAATTATAAAAGGAATGGAAATTATTCTTTGTATTTACAAGTAAAAATCTTAAAAGTGTGGCATGCACTTGCATTCCTCCACTTAACTCTGATATCCTTATTAAACACCAGCAGGCCTTGGCATGTTTTTTGTTTTATTTTTTCATTCCCAAATGATTCAGGTAGATTATCTATTTTAAGTTGTGTAAGAATTTACCAATGCTTAGACTTTCCTATTAATGTGTTCATGATGCATAATTTCCTGAAAACCAATTTAGAGTGTCTCTGATTTCATATCTAAACAAAGTTAGTGTGAAATATTTTTGCTTCATCCTTTGTTGGAGAATTCTTTCTCTGAATTTGAATCATTTATATATCTTTGTGCATGTAAGGCGTGACGGTGCTAGCAGTGGGTATAGACCAAGCTGACAGAGAGGAACTGCGGCTGGCTGTGACGGATCGAAACCCACAGAACATTCTGTACGCTAGTACGGCAGAACGTCTGAACACACTACATGCTGATTTGGCTGACTTGCTTTGTGGGATCGCCAGAATTCCAGAGGTGAGAGATAATCTAGAAAAAAATATATATGTAACTGCATGTTATTAGTCAGTGTGTTTACAGGTCATGCTGTTTTTGCAAAGCAGCAACTGCATATTCTCAACTTATTCCCATTTGTGTATGTCTAATCAACCATTGTAACTGCATTTTACTAAGTATTAAAAAAGATTTTGCAAAAAAAAAACTTTTTTAATGCTCAATGAAAAAAAAAAACACACAAGGAGGGATAACTCTTATGCTCAAGTGGAGAAGAATCCAATTATTGTTATTAGGGTTGAAACAATTGAAATAATCATGATTAATCATGATTTAATTATTAATCATGATTAAAATAATCGTCAACTAATTTAGTAATCAATTAAACTTTAGCTGGAGTATAGAGACTCTAAAATAAGCCTTGTGCTGACAGAGGGACCCACTTAGAGCATTTATTATATCATAAACATTTTGCATTTAAGATAAAAAACTTTAATGTCTGTCAATATGCTCTATCCAGAACTCCTCAAATGGAAAAAGTTAAGTTTAAGCTTGTTTCATTTTGTAAAAAATCTTCTTTAAATAACCTTTGGCTATCCGATTTTTAATCAATTAATCAAAAAACCTAATCGATAGATTAATCGATTTCAAAATAACTGTTAGTTGCAGGCCTAATTGTAATGGTGTGATGCAGGGGAATGCATCAATTTGATATGTGTCTGTCTGTTGTAACGTAGAAGCCTCTTTTGGCTGTCACGTTTTCTAAAGAAAAGAGCCAAGTGGTTGTTTCTTGCTCTCATCTATGGCTTTGTGAAACACAGAATTTCTTGAAATCCTGGGTACAAAAGGCTCTTATGTTCTGTACATCGAAGGACTCTGGTGAGAAACATTGATGGCAGGGGTCGGTAATCCAAACTACTCAAAGAGCCATATTGGACCAAAAAAACAAAAAATAAATCTCTCTGGAACCGCAAAAATGTAAAAGTCTTATATATGCCTCTTATGGCAACACGGGCTCTAAGTGTATTAACCCACTATAGAAAAGGACTATGTGGGCTTAAATATATAATAAGCATTTATGATTAAATGTTTATGCTGGAGCAAATGTCACAGCAGCATGAGGTGAGAGAGGACCATTGAACACCTGCTACTTCACCGCCTTTCACTTCGCGGTTTAAGTTTCATTGCATTGATGAAATTATAGAAACACAATAAAGGAATCTTTCAATGGTGGACATGTTTCTGTTGGGAGGAATTGATTGAGTTATGAGGAACCAAGCAGGAACTGACATCCATCAGAGCAGTGTTCTCTAACCCTGAAATCCCACATCCTCCGTCACCAGCGTTCCTTGGTGTGATTTATATTTTTTGGATTTGGGGAAAAATAGAAGAAAGTTTACTTACCTGTTTCAGAGCGCTACCTGTTTGATCTGTGGACGGTTTTCCAACCTTGCAACAAAACTAGCAGCAGTAGTGGATAGGGGTGTCAACAATAATCGATTCAGCGATGCATTGCAATGCAGGACATGCACGATTCAGCATCGATGCGGCACCGTGCCATAATCGATTATGTCACTGTTTATTCTCTGGTCTCAAATGGACAAGTTGTGAAGTTTCAATTACTTCTGGGGGCATACCAACAACAATCAAGATGGCTGAAGTGGAGGGAGATGACCGCGATAGATGTGTAGGCCTAACGAAAAACGCACCAAAAGCTTGGAAAGCGGATATCTGGGCACATTTTGGATTTTACGAAGTCAGTGGGATTTTGATGCATCGCAATGCATCGTAGAATCGAATTGAATCGAATCGTTACCTGGTGAATCGTAATCGAATAGAATTGTGAGGGCAGTGCCAATGCACACCCCTAGTAGTGGAGTTTGGAGATGCAATCCACTTCTTAAATCTATCTTTGCACTCCTCTAATTTATCCAGAAGTTCTGCAATCACACTTTTTCTCTCCCTCCCAGCTTGGTGGTCGACTGCATATTCAGCCTTCCCTGGAAATGCCTTTCCAAATTTTTATTTTTATTTTTTGACAACCTCTGATTACAAAGCAAAAATGCAGACAATCCTTCCGCATTGATAATGAAAGCTAATGATTCGCTCCATTCTTTAAATGCTCTCTTCACATCAGCTATCTTCCTTTTTTTCCCTTTGGGATCCATGGTCCGAGACACACCTGCAGCTTTGTTTGCCTGGCACCGCGCCGTGCCGTGCCGCGCTGGTGGCAAGTTATGACCACTGATCTCTATGGCTATGACTAAAAATTATTGTTTAAATTTATTTATTATAGAAATGTTTACAGCGTTGGAAAACATAATTATTTTTTGTTCGACCTCCTGCACACCATATAAAAAGAAAAAAAAATCGACTTTCAGGGAGCCGCAAGGGGGATGTAAAGAGCTCCGGAGCCGTGGGTTGTCGACCCCTGATTAATGGTAAATAACATAAAATCATGGGTGTATCCTGCCTTACTGGGGAGTAGTGGCCTAGTGGTTAGGGCTTAGAGCTTGGAATATTGAGTTTCTGAGTTTGAGCCCCACTCCCACAGACTGCCACTCTGGGTCCCTGAGCAAAGACCCGTAACCTCACACTGCTCCCTGGGCACCCCACCATGGCAGCCCCCTGCTCCCTAAGGGGATGGGTTAAATGCAGAGGTAAACTTCTCCAATGTGAGATCAATACAGTTCAATTATTTATTATTGTATCAATGGTTCAAACTGGTGGCGATCCTTAAATACCACAGAGGGTGTTTTCAGCTCTCTGAAAGCCCCCTGATACCATACTGTGCATTGTTTTACCTGAATGCTGTTGATGACCATGTCAATCCCTTTATGGCCACAGTGTGCCCATCTCCTTGTGGCTACAACCAGCAGAATAATGTTTAATCTAGAAAGTGCAAATTATCTCACGAGGTACTTTAACAGGACCTGACTTCCCCGATCATTTTTTCATTGACCAAGATCTTTTAGGAATTTCAATTACACCTTTTATCTTTAAATCTTTTTGAGCAAGTTGTGCATGCGTTTATTTAAGTCGTCTGGATTCGAGCATTAGCCACAAAGCACTTTCTCTTTGCAGTTAGTCCAGAATGCTGTGGCACAACTTTTAACGGGCACCAAAAAACGTGAACACATCGCGTCTTTGCACTGGCTGCCTGTTAAGTTTAGAATTGATTTTTACTTAGACTTAGACAACTTTTATTGTAATTTTGTATACATAGAGTGTATACAAAACTAAAAGAAATTTAATTTTGTACAGCTTTCCAGACAGTAAATGAACATTTCAATTCCATAAGGTGCAGCAATGATCAAATGTAAACAGTGTAGGAGAAAAGAAAAAAAGAAAACAAAAAACATGGTGCAAAAAAACGTATTGATATGGATCGATGGTTCAGGATCAATGCCTACTTTGTAGCGTTCTAATCGGTGTATTTTGTCTGGAGCTGTAGCAAGCCACTGCCTTAAGGCACAGCCATCTTCCACTTTAAAATATTATTGTTCGTTTTTGAGGCCTTGAATCGACTGAGACCTCAGTACATCGTTACACCTCATCCAAATTAACCATCCCCTGTTGACTTTTAGGTCTGAGGGCAAGCTCCAGCTTGTGACTCCTAGGACAATAGGAAAACCGGAGGGGACAGAGCATTCTCTGTTGTTGGCCCTAAGCTGTGGAATTCACTGCCCTTCAATATACGTATGGCCCCCACCGTGGAGTGTTTTAAACCTAATCTTAGACTAACTTTTATTCTCTGACTTTTAGCATTGTGTAAGTTGTGTGGTCCCCTGTGGCAATGGCGTTAATATCGGTAAGCAGAGGCTGCAGTTGCTTACGGGTCCCCGACCTCTTAGGGGCCTGTCACTGACACCTGCTAGGCTCCCTTCCCAATTCTGGACTAGGACGTCTGATTGCAGACATAATTGTGCAAAAAATTCCTCTTAAAACTAACCTGATTTTAAGATTACTGGCCAGACCTTATTTATACCCCAAGATATGCCAGATTTCAACATGAGGGTGAGCCCTTTAAACACGACACTAATAGCAAAGCAGACAGTGGTACTTTTAATTACTATGTTAATAACTGTGTATAGTTCATTAGTCGGCTGGTAAAAAATACACTCATATAATATGTTTCAAACCGCAATAAAGATCTTAAAAGAACGATGTATTTCAGTATTTTATTTTTTACATTAGACTTGGAATTATGGGTAATCCAGAGTGTTGTACTTCATATGGAGGCCACCCAGATAATGTTGCTTACGGGCCTATTGTTGTGTTGTTACGCCATTGCCCTGTGGTTTTGTATTTATTTTATTGTATTTATTGTTTTAAACAGTTTTATTTATATTTATTGTTTTATACTTGAGCAGCACTTTGGAATTTTTTTTGGGTTAAATGTACTATATGAATAAAGTTAATTTGATTGCTAAATCTTTGGGATAAAGTGTTAAGGCAGCTCTTAAGGCAAAAATGATCCAAACTCTTGTATCTATGGTTATCTTTTATAGTGGGGCATTAGAGGAGCCTAGTAACAACTTTGGATTTCACACAACAGGCTTAAGAGTCTCACTAGGGTTTTCCAGGAGAACCGCCGGGAAGTGGCGTGCATAGCCGCTGGCTGCGACGCATGGGCGGAGCTCATAGCTCAGGCTTTCCGCTCGGCCCGGTCCAAACCCAGAACCTTCTCTCTCAGCTGCTGTGCTTTAGAGGAACTAGTTATTTTGGAGATGATCAGTTTTCTTTAAGATTTCTGTGTTTCCTTCTCAGATCTTGACCTTTTGCAATCTAAAGGCATTTCCTTCCACCTAACAGTTTCCTTTGATTTGCTCAGGTGATTCCTGGTCCAGAGCAGTGTACTGTACAGTGTCCTCAGGTAAGTTATTTTTACACCATCCTATATTATAATCCAGAATGTTAATTTACCACAGTCCTTGAAACCATGCTAACCAAGGCACACATTCAAAACCTCCTGGATCTGCTGCTGCCTTCTCCTGAATATGAATTTTATTAAACTATGTCTTTTAGGGTGAAAAGGGAGATCGTGGTCAGAAGGTAAAGTAGTGGATTACTTTTTCATAAACTCACTTTTAAGGTGAATCAATTTTATTTTTTAACATTTGATCGAAATGTTGAAAATCATGTCAGAAAGTCATGTTTCTGCTGACATTCAGTAGGTTTAAAATGCATTTACAATTTTTTTTTGACATAGTTGTCAGAAATGCTGCAATCAGTAATATTTTGGATGCTTCTTTATTTTTGATTTGTGCCTAAGGGTGAAAGAGGCAGAGACGGCACAGATGGACGCAAGGGTGAGCCTGTGAGTCGGATAAATCCCTATTTTGACAAGTGTGGTAAAACATGATACATAATATTAAGTAATACTATTAATACAAATGTTTTCCCTAATGACATGATGGAGGGCCGTGATGGTTTGCCTGGGAGGGAGGGTCCCAGGGGACCAGAAGGTCGACCAGGAACACCAGGAAGACCTATCCCTATTAACCCTTCCCAGGTTATAAAAGGGGAAAAGGGGGAGAGAGTAAGTCCAGCTAAGTTCATGCCAGCATTTTAAAAACCTGTCAATATAGAATAAGATATATTTTTTATATACTTAATCCTCTTTATCTTTTAGGGTTTTCCTGGAGTGGATGGAAATCCAGGATTACCAGGAAGACCAGGGGCTGCTGGAAATGCAGGTGTTCCAGTAAGTGAACGAGCAGAACCTGTGTACTGTTTTCTTTTTCTTTATTATTTTATTTTAATATTAAGAAAATAACATAACACAACAAACAAAAATCCATGTAATCCCTTAGGGTTCACAAGGTCTTCCTGGAGTCAGAGGAAGTACAGTAAGTATCCATCTGAGTTTAGAAAACTATCACCTGTATCCTGCTTTACATTGTATCTGTTCTTTATTAGGGTGAACCAGGAGGACAGGGCACACCTGGGCCAAAGGGGGATAAAGGTGAAAGGGTAAGCTAAAACTCTTTGTCAAATCATATAAGTAGTTTTGGTTCAAAAGTGGCTGAGAACACATAAGTAAAAGTTGGATGTGTCTTTGCTCTGATAATATTGCAGGGGGAACCTGGTTCAGTTGTATCCAGTTTGCCAGGCAGGAAAGGAGAACCAGGCGTCCCAGGAATACCAGTAAGAGTGTAAAGTCACTTAATTTAGAGACAAAAGAAAGGGAAACGTCGATTTTCCATATTTTGTATAGTGTGTAGGTTTCCATATTTAAAACACCCTTCATTTCATAGGTAACGTTTTCTCTTTCTCTTAAGAGTTGTAAAAATGGTATTAAGCTCTCCTTAAGAAATCCAATGTAGTATTTCTGCATCTTATATAAAGGGTACCCCAGGGCGACCCGGCATAGAAGGAGCCAAAGGAGCCCCTGGAGTTCCAGGTACACGAGGTCAGGATGGTCGGCCAGGAATTCCAGGAACACCAGGACTTTCCATTAAGGTTTGGCTCCTCCATCTCTTTTCCCAAATTACATATGTTTATAATGACTGAATTAGATATCATTGGCTGGTTTAGAGATAGATACTTGATGAGATAAAAAAAGATCTTCTCAAAGCACACTCCTGCACTTTTTTGTAACAAGAGTGTATATATGTAATACAAATATAATACTATTTGTTTTCTTTACAAAACAAAACCTCTAAAGGGTTGGGTTTGCATTTGTATCCAGCCCTTGTCTTCTCTGTTACGCCTACAACATTTAAAAACCTGTTTGAACTTGGACTGATGTTCTTTCAGATGAGCATACCCGGTCAGACCAGCATACCCATAGTCAATACCCGTTTATCCCTTTAGTTTTTCCCTTTGATTTTGTATGAAAACTTAACTTTAAACTACTTCAATGGGCGTGTATCCCTTAAGTTGTGTACAAAAAAACTATTTAATTACTTACTTTTTGGTGTTTTTGGAAACGTATGGTGATCCACCTTAAATAGTTTTTTTTTCGTACATGACCAAAGGAATACAAGGCCGTAGAGGTAGTGTAAAGTCTATTTTTTGTACAAAACAAAAGGGATAAACGCTCATCTGATGTTTTGCACACGCGTATTGACTATGGGTATGTTGGTCTGACGAGGTATGCTAATCTGACAGAACACCAGGTTATTAAAAAAAAAAAACAATGCTATAATCCATACTGTTTCATTTAAGCTCTGACTGCTTTTATTGTAACTGTTATCCCCCTGAAAGGTAAACCTCTGCCCTGTATTTCTAATTCTTCAGGCCTCTCATAGATTTTCTCCTAGAATTGCCTTCTAATCAACTCCATTCTTCTTCCAGTTAACTTTGATCTGTGCTCCTTGTTCTTCCAATCAATAAAAGTACTCTCAACTGGATTTACTAATCTTGGACTTACTGGTTTCCTAATAAAGTGAAAAAGGCTGAATACAGATACAATCTCACAATGCAAGAATGATCTCTTTGTTTAGCCTTGTCACATAAAGTCGATATAAAATGCACTGAAATCCAACTGCAACATATTAAAATCCATACAAAGTTTTAGGGATGTGAATACTATTTAAACATAAACACTACTACTTTATCCTGTCTGCAGCATAGCATCAGTATACATACTTGCAAACTGTGCATGCAGCAAAGTTACAGAAAACAAATACAAAAAACAGCATAAAGAACGACTTCGAATTGTCATAATTTAGTTCATCTGACTATATTACCTCCACTAACCTTCAGATTCTCTGTTGGCTCATTGAACTCACCTCAGTAGATCTCTGCATCCTGTGAGATACTGACAAAGAAAAAGTACTATTAGGCAATTATTAGTTCTTTATCTGTTTGAAGTTTTGTGATATATATTATATATATATTAGTAAGAGTTATACCGGTATATAACTCATATCCATGCTATTTCCCGTCTGTAAAAATAAAATGTTAATTCATCTTATTGTGATACATGTCCACACATAAATTGAAGTACAGAATCAGTTAACTCTTGATCAATTGTATCTAAAATGATCCAACAATAAGAATATTAACTATCTTCAGATTAACTCTAAGATAATTAATCTGAAGATAATTATCTTAAATCAATGTTTTGCATAAATGCTGACTGATTCTATATCATGGCTCGCTCTATGTTTTCATGAAATCATCAAATTAATATTTGTCCTTTCTAGGACACTCACAAAAAAATGTAAATGTTATTTTCCTGATTGTAAATTGATTTCTGAATGCAGAAAAACAGATACTGTAAATAAATTAAGACATTAGGTTAAAAGTAACCTATGTGTCTTGGTGCAGCAAACATTTAATTAGGACCCCCTTTATTCCCACAACAAAAATGACTTTCACACTTCAGAGATGTGACAGGAATTAATGTTTTACAGAACCATGTTCATTTTTTTTTATATTTAGAGCAAATTAATATTTGTTTTTTTCTGCACAACAACCAACCAAATTTAGAATCAGCATTACAGCAGCTTACTGTAGCAATCTTTGCAGTTAGTTTTTTAACTAAAACCAAAACTTCCCACCTTTGCAACACAGTGATTTTAGCATGAGTTGAATTTTAAATTGAGTTGAGAAAAATGGAAGCGGTACACATTACATCAGAACATCCTCGTAAAATTGTAATGTTAGTGACTTTAGGACCTTTAGGACCGTCTGAAGCACGAGATACTGATTTAAAAATATATATATTTCAAACAAAACTGCCTTTTTGTTAGTTTTTTTTTTACATGTCTTGTTTTATTTTATGTGATAAATTTCAAAATGACAAAGAATCAGGGATCCTAAGGGGTCAAAATCAGAAAGTCACTGCCCAAATCATAATGTTGATCCTTCAATCATTTGTTTTTCGCTCTCCATTCTTTGTTGCTACTTGCTACTACAGCTGTTTAAATCTGAATTCTTTGTTAAAAGGGCTTCTTTTAGCAAAGTTATTTTTTTATTTAGTTATTAAAGTGATTTTTTTTAAAATAGAGCCAGTCTTGGTCTGTTATATTTGGTTATCACTCAGTCTTTTATTGTCTTTGCTTCTTAAGCTTTTATTTTCCTCTTCAAGTCATTCTCACTTCACTTTATCTCCCACAGGGAGATAAGGGCAGTCAAGGAGAGCGGGTGAGTCATACCATCTTCAACTTGTCCTCTACAGTAAGGGAAGCAGTTTCCTGTGAAGAAAAAGACTGTAATGATCCTGGGCTCTTATCTCTCCTTTCTGTCAGGGACCTCCAGGAATAGGAAGCGGCGTGGCCGTGAAGGGTGAAAAGGGCTCCCCTGTAAGTGCTGCCAGTCGTCCATAATGTGCTGATCTTTTAGTTTTGCAACTGCAGTTTCATGCATATTTGGCATAATTTGAATTTACTGATTGCTTTGAAATAACCAGGGTATTCCAGGAGCTGCAGGTGTCCTGGGACCTAGAGGGCCAGCAGGACCACAGGGCAGTAAAGGGGATAAGGTATCATCAGGATGTATTTAGTGTTTGAAAATGTAAACAAATTAAAAGGCCTGTTAAAATGAATGGGTCCCTGGTGTTCATCAGGGCGACGATGGCACTGGACTGCCTGGACCTCAGGGAAAGCAAGGAGAGCCCGGTGACAGGGTGGGTCAATCACATGACACTTTGAAGATTAACATATATAATGACAAATATAATAAACTCACTATCCCAGAAAGACACAGTTGAGCTTTGGATAGGTGGTTCAGTGAAACAAGTTTTCAAAAATGTTTACTCTATATGGATCAGTAGAAGACAAGTATTGTTTTTGTTAACTTGTAGCGCCACCTGTAGGACAAATAACATCAGCTTTTTAAGAAAAAAAAAATAAAAATATATATATATATATATATATATTTTGTATCAACCTTAAAAATACAGCCACATGTATACAATAAATTACATGGAAAATCATCTTCCCAGCTGTTGAATAAATATATATATATTTTTAGGGACGGGGTTTAAAATTCATCATGTGAATTCATCATAAAAATGCAAAATGTTTCAGAATTGGTCTGTATCCTACCATTTGCCTGAGTAGAAACATTTATTTTAAGTTATCCTTTATGCTAACTAAAAAAACACAATAAAGGCATATTTTAAGCCCATGCATATTTCCAATATTTTCCAGGGCCCCCGTGGACCTGCAGGCGAGATTGGCAGCAAGGTAGGATGCATGTGATGACAAATATGTCTTTAATAATATGGAACAAAATTGACCTTTGTCCTGATCTCTGTTTCACCAGGGCGACAGAGGACAGCCAGGTGAACCTGGGACACGAGGAGACAGAGTGAGTCCTGAGGAGAGACAAGTTGTTCCTTTGAACATGTCTAAACCGGCATGCTTGGCACAGTGAAAGCGCTCCACTTTGAAGTAGTGATGAACTGGCAAATATTACGTAATCTAGATGTTTAACACCAGGCTCTTATCAGAGAAGACTAATAACTGGTTTCAAAATTAAAAGTTACTTCGTTAAAGTATTAGCATTATTTCATCTCATTTATTTCTTTTACACAGACGCATGAACAAGGGTTTGTAAAATATTTAATTATAAAAAAGCCCAGAATGAACGCTACTTTTATTCTAGTGATTTTTAATAATGCACTATTGTTGAAGATGATAATTTTTCATTTTATGATTAAAAATTATAAAACTGATTAGAAACACCAGAGACTAACTGATACCATTGCAAATGTATCCGGCATCCTCCACAGAATAGACAGTTAGAGCAGCAACATATCTGCAGCTGAGATATAGCGGTTGGATCACTCATCATGAAGGCCTCCTAATATATATAATAACTTAAGAAAAACAATCAGTTCATAAGTAAGAGCAGACTTTACATTTGTTTATCATCCAACTCCATTGCACATTTCTAAGAACTTAAAAATGTTTATTTTTTCATTTTTGATAAATGTCTTTTTTTGCTTGTTCTATTAATTGTGTTTTTACTACTTTGCTGCTGATATAGCTGCATTTTCGCTAAGGGATGACAAAGGATTTATTCTTTTCTGTTCTTGTCTGTAGCTTTAGATTTCTTCTTTATTTGATGAATGTGAACTTTTATATCTTTGCAGGGGGAGCGAGGGCCTGTTGGGGAGACTGGAGAGAAAGTCAGTATAGCTGGAGTTGCTGGTTTAGATTTTCATTGATTTTAAAGTTCCTAACTGTTGACTTTAGTCGGTTTTAAAGGAAGCTTGCACATTTCTCTGAACAATACTGTTATTTCAGGGTGATCAAGGAAAGGCAGGGATCCCAGGAACACCAGGCCTGAGAGTGAGCATTGTCTAAATGATGTGTAACTACATGTCTTGTGTGTAACTTTTTCTGTTTGATGCTCTGTGCAATTTTTTATGTGTTTTCATTTAAATGCAGGGTTTACCGGGACCAAGTGGACCAGCAGGAGAAAAGGTGAGAGAGAAAGCTTCTAAGGAACAATGATCGAAGACGCTGCATGTCAGTAGGCTTGCTGAACCTTCTATGATCAGATAGGAGGACATTTCAAGCACAATTTGTAGAAAATAATAGTGTCTACTTTCAGGGAAATGAAGGAGCACGAGGGGAGCCAGGAAGAAGTGTGAGTGCTCTGTTCTTATACCCGTAAGTATTGATTGAATGTCTGTGGCAGCTCAATAACTACACTGTGCTATATTTGTATTCATTCAGATGCCAGGTTTACAAGGAAGGAAAGGAGAACAGGTTTGAGATAAAGATTGCCTGAATTTTAACAATTTAAGCTGATACTTTTAGAGATATAGTGGGTGTTTTATAATTTTGTTTGTTCTTTTTAAAGGGAGAACGAGGTCTTCCTGGCTCTGATGGTCTAAAGGGAGATAGGGGAGAACCAGGACAAAGAGGAGAGAAAGTGAGCTAACGGCTGTGAATCACATACTGGAAACATTGCTTCTCTCAATTAACATTTATGATTATGTTGCTCCGTCAGGGTTCTCCAGGTTCAGGAGGCTCAGGTGTTGTTGGACCTAAAGGAGAGCCAGGAGAGCCAGTAGGTTTAAGACTGCCACAGTATAGTAACGCAATCTACGTTTGTGAAACAATATTTGAATCCATTTTTAATACAACTCCTCCAGTTGACGGTTCATTTAACATGCATTCTCTCCTCAGGGACGTCCAGGTCTTAATGGACGACCGGGAGCCAAGGTTTGTAGCCTGCAGTGTCCTTTCTGACTTTTACTTTGAAATGTTTGCTGCTTAACTGCTAAAATGATCTCTGTTATTTAGGGAGACCCAGGAGAACCAGGCGAGAGAGGAGAGAATGGTCGCCCGGGAATCCCTGGAAAACCCGGGCTTGGTGGAAAACCGGTCAGTGTCGCAGGGATATCACTCTTAGAAGCCCATACCAAAAAAAATGTGTTTCACACAACATTAAAAATAGTCAGAAGTAGGAGGTTGCCTGACATTAAGGAGATTATGAAGAATTACCTTTTATTAATTATACTGTCAATGCTTTTTATGCCAAATTGATGGCAATAAATGTACATTTTTTTGCAAAGCATTTTACATTTTGAATCGTTACAGAGGGAAACAATACAAAAAAGCTGCACTTGGATTAAAAAAAAACGTAATCAACCCAAAATACACTAAAAGCATCAGCATAGGGCTGGACAGTGGCACAGTTTGCTCTTTCTGCTTGCCTGGTCAGCTAGATCAATTTACACGGGGCATAAGTTAGTCTGGTAAGGCCCAATACTCTCTATTCTAAAACAGACCAATTGGAGCACAGTAGGCAGGCAGGATTGCAATTTATCTGCCAGTGAAGATTGCCAGTCATCCAGGTCAAAGTCATTCCAAAAAAAAGTTAAAAGGCTTTTGTTTGGCTATTCTATAAAGCCCGGAGATCTACACTACAGATTACAGATTTTTTTTCTGTATTTTCTTCAAACCTAGAAAAAAAAGGAAATTTTTCTATTCTTAATTTTCTATTAAAAATTTCAAGATTTATTTTGTAACTTAAGGGATTGTGGCTCACATGCAAAGAAAGCTAAAGAAATTCAGTGGCTCAGAAAATCTGAATATAACATTTAATGAGAAAAGGTTTTAACCACAAGTATCTGGCTTCTAAAAAGTATGTCCATTTTGTGCAGTTTATTCACTCATTCAATAGTTGTTTGGGTGAATTACTACATCAATGTGCCATGGTCTCAAGGTCATCAACTAATTGCATTTAGTAGCTGTAATGGTTGTCTGCATCGTTAGGTCTGGTAACTCATCTTCTTCCTCTTGACAACAGATTTTCTGTGGGGTTTAAGTCAGGGGAGTTTGTTGGCCAATCAAGGACAAGAACAGCATGGTCACTGAACCATTTTTTCTTACCTTTAGCAATGTGGGCATGTGCCAAGTCCTGTTGGGAAAAAAAATAATTTGCACTTCCATAGAGCTTCTCAGCAAAGGGAGAGGATGAGTTGCACTTTTACGTTTTGAGATATATCCAGCCTCAAATGAAATTTGAAAGATAATTAAACAATGGAATTAATGGAACAAGACAATTTACACTTAAAATAAGAAAACACAATTGCGTTGTCTTATTTCAAGTGCATTTTATCTAAACATCTAATTTTAAGAGTAAAACTCCTCATTCCGTGGCAAATCATCTAATTTACCTTCTCAAATTAAGGGTAAATAAGGGTAATTTATGTACTTTTTACTTATTTCTAGATTGTTTTTTCCAGTGTACCATTTATAGGTGCTAAGGTCATACTGCACAGCATCACATTTATACATCCATCCATCCATTTTCCGTCATGCTTATCCCAAGTGGGGTTTAGAGGGGTGCTGGTGCCTATCCCGAGCTGTCTACGGGCGAGAGGCTGGGTACACCCTGGACAGGTCGGCAGTCCATCGCAGAGCATCACATTTATCCAAAACAAAATATTATTGCTTACTCTGGTCCAAATATCCAAAAACAGCAGTAAGCAGAGTCTCAGTAATGCTAATATTGTAGTGTGGTTTTTCATTAAGTGATGTAGATTTTGACATAACTTTTTGCCCTACAGCTGATGGTATTGTGTTAATGGCCAGTCATTTATGCTAACTCTCTCACATATGGGGGCACAGGCATCTCTAACACAGCCAGATTGGCCATTCAGATATAATGAGTGTCATAGATTTTATTGCATCATATTGCAGACAGATTAGGAAAACTATTGCTCGCAAATTGTCTATGATTTCAGTCATTTGTCTGATTCCACTCACATTTGCAGAAAATTTATGAATATCTAAAATTACAGCTTAAATTTCAGTTACAAGCTATTCATCATGTTCTTTTGGTCAATGAGGTTCCGTGCGAATATTCAGCAACTAAAATGTCAAAAATCCAGATTAATTGTGGGATAAGTCTTTCTTTGGCCTGGATTTCAGTCCTTGTTATTGCAGAAATGACATCTAGCATAAAAGCTCTGACAAATCTGTCTACAAGCTGCAATAACATGCTGATGCAAACCGAGGAAAGGACTTACAAACAGTCCAGTTTCAAATTAGAACGTTACAACCTCCCTAATACAATAATCAATTATAAGTACAATTTAACGTGTACAGTAATTTAGGGTATTTTTGCGTTCAGTATCCTAAACAGGCAGTTTTAAAGCAGATTTTATTATAAAATAAAAGCAAAAATCTTGTTCTTCTATTTAAAAATGACCAGACATGCAACACAAACTTCACAGATTTAAGCAGTGGCACTAATCTAATGTAGAAAGTAGCAGTTGACATAAAGCAACATACAAAAAAAAAAGATGCTTACCCTACCACATTGTTGATTTGTTCTTTCTGTTTGATTTAGCTGATAAATGATTTAATATTATCTAAATTGATCCTCCAATGCTGGGTTGTTGCACATTTGTTATATAGTTTATTCTAGGATCATTATCACTATCACTCTCTTATCATCTTTTTTAGCTGTGGATGTCCAAGTCCCCGACCAGTCCTGCATTTCAGAACCCCACATTACAGATTTACAGGAAATCTATCTAGTATTTATTGGTTGTTAAACATTTCCAATTTAAAAACAAAGATTTTTTAGTGCCCTCTATCCTGTTAAAATAGTGTAGACCGGGAGTCTCCTATCCTGTTCCAAAAGATCTACTGTCCTGCAGGTTTTAGATGCATCTTTGCAAACTTGGTTGCATTCTGAGGGTTTGAACTAGATGTGTTGGATCCATCTAAAATCTGCAGGACAGTAGATATTGAGAAGCACCAATGGATACTCCTTGTCTTGACATTTAATATTTCCTGTTTGAAAACCCAGTTTTCAGGTTATGTTGCTGATCCAAATGTATGTAGCTACTGAGAGTGTCTGAGTTCCAGAATCAGATATCTACTACAATACAATTTTCTGAAGTTTTTCGTTGCTTGCATTTTCTTGTACCAGAATAACATGATAATTTTCCATTCTACTCAATAGATAGTCAATGTTTTCTTTTGCTAGGTTTCTTCATACAAAACAGTAACACTTTGGCTCATTCGTTCGTAAACAGAGTAGATAGGTTTGAAAGGATATATTTTCACTTTCATCCTGATAATCTCTTCCCTGTGGTTTCTTACTTGCTTCCCTTCCTAATTCTGACAGTTTAGGGATAATAAAAGCATTTTCCTTTTTTTTTTAATGAAACAACTGTCACCCTTTCTGTATTAATTTGATCTTTCTGAATTATAGGGAGAAAAGGGTGATAAGGGCGATGAAGGCACACCTGTGAGTTTATTTCCTCTTGTTTCATCTATAATTTCACAATGAATTAAATTGAATGAGACACTTCTAAAATAATTTTGACTTGATGAACAAGGATTAAATATCATTATGAGAGTTTTCCTCCTTTTCTTGTGTCAGGGAGAATCAGGACTTCCAGGAAAGCCAGGAGAAAGAGGTTTGAGGGTAAGGTGTTGTGTTCTGTTTCATTTGTTAGATTCATATAGTTTTAAGGCACCAAGTTAAAACCAGTTCAGGTAAGAGGCTGTTTGACTGATCACCCAGGGATTGGCGGGTCAGCCGGGGCGGCCAGGAGAGAAAGGAGACATGGGAGATCCAGGAGAGCATGGGAGAAATGTGAGAGACTTTTCTTTTATCGCACACACAGCTTTGCATTTTACTCTTGTGGTATTCTAGAGAGTGCTGAATAAAATTAAACCACCCGAAAGGCTGTCCACTCACTGCCTTTATTGATCTGTGTTCGATTACAGGGCAGTCCTGGACCCGCTGGACCGAGAGGAGAGAAGGGAGAGCAAGTAGGCTGTCTTATTTAATACTGAAATCTGCTCATTTACCTTTAGATCTATACTCAACAGATTCTTGCACTTTGTTCTCTTCAAGGGACTTCAAGGGCCTGCAGGGCCACCAGGACAAATTGTGAGCTTCTCACTGAGTTTTTTTTTTCCAGTTTGGAAGTCAAAAACTGATTAAATTGGACAATAAAGCTTAATGTGATATTTCATGTCTGTTTGTTAACAGGCTGAGCTACAGGGTCAGCTGAAAGGAGAGAGAGGAGAGAAGGTTTGTGCTTTTAATGTGTATTTAAGTTTAAGTGCATAAAAATGTCCTGTGGGAACAGATTATATTACACACATTATATATACATATAAGAATATAACATCTATGATAGTACTCATACCTCAAAACATTAGAGTTTTATTTAGCCACTTTAATCGATCGATAGAGTAATGCAAGCTACTGCATAGTTGTGGCATAGAAGGCAGCATTCTAGTATATATATATATTTATATATATATATATATATATATATATATATATATATATATATATATATATATATATATATATATATATATATATATATATATATATATATATATATATATATATATTTTATATATTTTTTTTTCTGTAAAAATAATAACCACAAAAAATGTGTTCTGCTTCTGTATCACTTCCTTTCAACTGTGATATAACTGGAAAACACATAATTACAACACATAGTTCTTTATGTGTATATTGAAGTCCTCTGTGAGGATCCTAGAAGGTTGCTGCAGAACATTATTAAACACACAGCATCGCAAAGACCAAGGAACACAGCATGGATAAAATGGAGAGGTTTAAAGCAACATGAGGTCATAAAAGTGTAACATTTCAAGCTTTGAATGTGTCAGTCTTTATCTGTTATCTAAAAATAACAAACATTACAGAACTCCTGCAAACCTAGGCAAGAAAAGCATCATTCAGAGAAGCAGTCAGGAGAAGTTGTGGTTCTGGAAGAACTTCAGATACCCCACATCAGGTGGCATAAGCTATTTTAAGTAGGGATGTACGGCATGTATCAGCATACTAACAGTATTGGTCAAAATTAGCTTTAATACTAAATAGTATCTGTTCCACTAATATAAAAGGCACTGCTTTTTACAAGCAAGTTAGTGCCGGTGCGTCCAATTCTTTTTTTTTTTCTCCATCTTTTATTGTCATTACACTGTTTCAAGTACAGAGCAACGAAATGAAATCTCTGCATTTAACCCAAATTCCAAAATCGTTCATTCTTTGCCATAAGGACAACTATTATTCATGCATTCCACAAATCTTTGCAGGAACAAAGCCACAAGATGTGTTTTTAAAATCTTTCTGGGATGAAAACAATGTCTGATTTGCATTTGTTTATTTTCATAGAACTTTTATTTATGGTTACTGTTATTAGATTTAAGTTATTTCTGTGACCATTTTGTGTTTTTCTCTCATCATTTGAGGAGTGTAAGTGTCTATGCTTATAAAATTTCAGCCAAGGGTGGTTCTATAGAGAATATCATCATATAACTGTGTTTGTTCCTAAATATTTTGAAAACCAAGCATTGTGTTTGTATTAGCCTACTTCATTATAATGCACAATACTGCCATACATAAAATTACATTTAACCACATTGACATTTTCTACAATGTGTAGTTCATTGGGGAGGAATACTTTTTAAAGGCATTTTGGTAAGGGTTAAAATCTGCAGTAGCACATATTAGAGACCTTATAACATTTTGACTCAAGGGTGATGCTGGCGACCCAGGAGAGCATGGCGGCAAAGGTCAGAAAGGGGAAGCGGGAACTCCTGGAGCTCCAGGACTGCGAGTGAGTTTTTTATTTATAATTAATTTATACATTTTTATTAATTTTTTATTTATAATAGTTCCACTCATATTCAAATATGTTTTAATTGCATCTGTATGCACACTGTTTTTTTGTATGGAGTTGCTGTGAATAACTGATCTTCTTCTGTCTATAAAGGGTCCAGAGGGACTTAGGGGACCTGCAGGCATAAAAGTGAGCGTCCTCTCTACTGGAGTTATTATAGTAACTAATCCTTTCTTTTTTTTTTTTTTTTTGATGAATACTAAAAAATATTTTTGTAATATTTGCAGGGTGACACGGGAGAAAGAGGATCACCTGGAGAGAAGGTTTGCATTCGCAATTTTAACACAGATATTTCTATAATCAAGACTGGAGTGATCTTGCGCTCATCCTGTTATGCAGCAAATGTGTTTTTTATGCCCCAGAACAGAAAGCACCATTACCTACTAATGACTGTTTTTCTTTTTGTGACAGGGAGAAAGAGGAGCCTCTGGGCTGGATGGCCGTCCTGGTCTGGATGGTAAACCAGGCTCTCCTGGACCCCCCGGACTAAGGGTGACCTACCTTCTTACATATCTAACCAATTTATTGAAGTCATTACAGTAAAAGTTATTCACTTAACAGCTGAAACCAGCTGCTTACACAGACTTTAGCAACAAGATATAAAACAATATTTCTCACTGTCAGGCATTAAATCAGACTAAAGTTTTATTGTTTTTGATCAATTAGTATATAATGTCTATTTGTTAAATAACATAATAATGTTCAATTTTGAATGATTATTGATGGATCTCAGCATTAGAGTTGAATGCTTTAATTTAAGAGACAATGTAATAGAAAACAAACCAAACAAAACATGCATAGATGTCAAGAAGAGAATGGTCCTTCCTTGGGTAAAATTTCTAGGTGCATGACTGTTCAATCTTTATTGCTTCAAAAAGGTACAAAATTTATTATTGTGATTTTTTTTAATTTACTTTATGGAGATCTTTTTTTTTTTTAGGTGTGTGAAATTAATTAATTCCACAAAAGACGCAAAAGACTGAATAAAGTTTGTCCAAAGTATGCCCTCTTAATGCATGGACTAGAAGGCCAGTCAGTGAGAAGTTGTTGCTTAAAAAAACCACATAAAAAAAACAAAACAAAAAAACTGCAGGAGTAGCCATTTAAAATTTTCCCAGTCTCCTTGATGGGCCCTTGGCTAGTCCCCTACAATTCCTTTTTAAACTTCAATTTCTGTACTAATATATTCTTTCTGTCATGATTTGTGGACATTAAGATCTAAAGAGAAGCATCATCTACTGGTCAAACCCTGTAATTGAGTGAAAGGGTAGAGTCAGAGTAAAAAAAATGCATGCCCAGGAGAAGGCCAGTGGCTGGAAGTTGGAGGGGATTTTGCTGGGAGTTGCAGCGGAGTAGGCTGCTATTGGGCTGGCATTTGACGGGGAAGGGCCATTTTGAATGGCTGCTACTGTATAATTTGCAAAAGGACACAAATATCTTAATTTTCGAGAATAATCTTGTGGTCTGATGAAGCTAACAGTTAAGTGTTTGAATTTAAATGAGAACACAACCCATTCTGTAAAGTGCAGGGATTGCAGTATCCTATAATTAGCATGTTTAGCTGCAGGAACAATTTGTGTACTTCACAGACTAGATAGCACCATAAGGATAGAACATTTTGGGAACATACTAAGTTAATATTTAATATCCACAAGGAAGTAAAAATGAATACTTATAATAGACAATGACTCTAATTGCATAACCAAATAACTTATAAAGTGTCTTAAAGTGATGTTGTTAAAACAGCCATCACCTATTCTTTTTTTCATTACCATAGAAAATGTGAGGGAAGAGCTGACCCAGTGACTGAGCAAGGCGGCCTATTAATCTGGCTTATTTACAGCAGTTTTCTCAGAAAGAAATCTGTCAACCTGCCAAAAAAAACTGTTGGTAGAAGCTTGTAAAAGGAGATGAAAAGCACTTCAACAAAGCCATAAAATTTAGAAGGAACCCCCCCCCTAAATAGTAAGAAAGTGTGAAAAACCTCTGAATATTTGTATATATTATTTTTCTAGCACTTATATTTTTACTATGTTTGTGATCCCAACTGACCTAAAAAAAGGGAATGCAAGTTCTGATTTAACACCAACTTCTGAAAGGAAAGATAATGGTTTATAAGTTGTATATGGTTTTGATGGTGCAATGTTTTCCTTATTTCACAGGGAGATCCTGGAAAACAAGGTGATGCTGGGAGAGATGTAAGCTTTCTTTTTCTTTTAAAGATGTTTTCATTTTTGTTTTTTTATGAAAGGTATTTAATTTCTGATAGTTTCAGTTAGAATTCAGTATAAACCGTTCCATGAAATTAAGTCTGTGAACTTGGTGCATTCATACAGCAGATGGTGCTGTGTTGATGTTAAAATTCCTTCTCTGCTCCTGTGACTTGTTACATAAGCCAGCCATAAGGAAACATGTCTTTGTCCGCTTTCACAGGAGACTGTTATGTAATATTGACAGTAATAATGATTTTGGGTCCTGAAAAGCTTCAAGCACACGGTTAAGAAAACTGATTCCTGCAGAACCACGATACCTATACAGCTGCTGACGTATGCTAAAATTTGTGCATATTTGTCTTTTACATTGTTCTCCCAATGTAATCTGTTGTAGGGATTGCCAGGACTGAGAGGAGAACAGGGTCCTCGGGGGCCAGCTGGTCCTCCAGGAAATCCAGGAATACCTGTCAGTACTCATTATCTTTATCACGTGTTTGTTTTCATGTCATCTCCATGAATCCCATCTATCTTAATTGAGCCATTTCATTATGTAGGGTAAAGCAGGCGAAGATGGCAAACCTGGTCCTCAAGGAAAAATGGTAATCCTTCCTAAACTGGATACGTTATAACCAATTTATAATTTTCTCAGATAAGATGAAATGTGTTTTTGTTACCAATGTGACTGCTACAGAGATTGATATGATTCATTAAGAGTATAAATATTGTGAGTTATGAGCATACTTCTCCTCTAGTTATTCTCTCGCTAATAGGCTTCACGTACTGCTCCATTACTCTATGGAGGATCAAAAGCTGTGCAGATATGTATTATAAAGTCTGCTGCATAATGACTGCCTTTAGCGGGCCACTGGAACTGCAGAGCTGAGTGTGCCAGCAGGAGACTTGCCATTATTCAGAATATAATGCATTTTTTTGTCACACAGGGTGAGGATGGAGTGCCAGGAGAAGATGGAAGAAAGGTCTGTGGCTGTTTATGAATTTATATTATCTGACCCCAGCAGGTTATTATTTAGCAAAAGAGCGTTCAAAAGTTCAGTAAATGAAAACAAATTCAAGATAAACTGCTACACAGTATCAATGAAATCCTATAATGAATTTATGTAGCGGACATCTTTGCAACATTTAAATGCATAAATCCAGCTCAAGCAAATAGTCTATTGCAAAGGCATTCATATAAACAAGATATTATTTAATCTGGATTATTTATTTTTTTTTGCAATTGAAAACGTACAGTATGTAAGAAATGTAAAGTTTATGCAAAGTGATGTATGTTTTTTTCATTGTATTTACAGCATAAACCTGAAAAGTGTATGATGATAGCATTCAGCCACCTTTTACACTAATACCCTTAAGAACAAGCAAGCTAACTGCTCTTGAATGTCACATTTTTGTTATGAAAGACTAAGAAAGATTCAAAATCCCACTTTTGGGATTACATACAATACAGGGAGATTTAAATGCTTGAATTCCCTCAGCAGCATGTCAGCTCTAAAAAGCACTGTTATCCAGTCAGTTGAAGGCGGGGGAATCTGAAAGTTGCAGGATAGTAGCTCTCTAGGACTGGCCTCAGAAACCCTTCCTGTACCTTATCTTGAAGAAACCATTCCCACTGTGAAGTTGATGGAAAGATGGATGGGACTAAATACACAGCAATCCTTGAAGCCAGGTTAGAAGATTCAGGAGACAAAGTCGTGTGTATTATTGGAGCAGAAAACTGCTTTTCCTAGATCCTCTCCTTCAAACTTGAGCTGTTTTGCAAGAAAGAATTGCAACAAATCCTGTTTTTGAAAGTGTAAAACTTGAAGGGAAAAATCCCCAGAAGACTTACAACTGTAATTGGGGTGAAAGGTGGTTCTTCAAAGTATTAACTAATTGGCATTAAAAACAAGGGCTCGCCACATCTCTGAGATTCTTATTTGCAAAAAAAAAACAGGAAAAAGATTAATTGTTATCTTTTCATTTAACAATTATGTTAATAATATTTTGTGCTGCACAAAATCACATTAAATATATCATGTTTTTGTTTTCATTCGTCAAAATGTGACAAAATAAAAATGGTGTTTTTGTGTACTCGTTATTGAAGCTTGTTTGAAATACTGGGATTTGACTCTGCTGTTTTTTTTTTTTTCTGCAGGGTGACAAAGGAGAAGACGGGGCAGCTGGGAGAGATGTCAGTTTGGTTAAACCATTTTTTTCATATCTTGTTTAATCCTATAATTTATAGATTGTTTCTGTTCTGTATCAGTCTCTCTCCCATCCCCACTATGTGTTTTTGTTATCATTTTATTCCATAGCAGACTTCTTTCTTATCCATTACTTACTCCTCTAATGTATGTTTATCAGGCCCAATCTGCTCTCACCCTGACATCTAATTTTCATCTTCTGCTGAATAAATAGGCTTCTTAAAGCCATCCATATAGGTTCATCTGCTGCTATTGATCAAGCTTAGCCTTTAGGGGGGTGCCACTTCAGAGAGGACTCCAGAGAGGCACCAAATGTCACAGTGCTGTATTTCATGTGCAAATTCATATTAATTATCTCTTGAACATCAGCGGAGGGATGGCAGAAGCCACCTGCTTTGATTTTTATACGTTAGCTTGCTTTGAGTAGGAAAGTACCAAGATAAGGGTGTTAAGTTCACGCATTGTTTTTTTTTTTTTTTTGCTTTGTTTTTTACAGGGCCGTGATGGACAGAAAGGAGACCGTGGGCCTGCAGGGCCTCCAGGCCCCTCTGGACCCCAGGGGCCTGCTGGATTGCCTGGCAGCATTGGCCCTCCTGGACAGGTGTGAGTCATAAAGAAAACTGAAAATTAAAAGCAAGGAATTGGTATGTTGACAAATTCAAATGTTTTCTTTCAGGTTGTGTACGTAAAAGGGGCTGAAGCTGCACCCATTCCGGGTCCACAGGGGCCTCCAGGGACTCCAGTGAGTACAAGAATTTTAAATTCTTTAAAAGAATCTTAAAACTCAGCCCACTTTCAGAAAAGTCGGTTTACTTTAGTTCCTTGGGCTATAAACTATCATGAGGACTCTATATATTGCTGTTTACACTCTTTCCTGGGAATAGCTCTAAGTTCACCTCATCCATGTTAAAACTAAATGAATTCATATTTACAAAAGCACATTATCATTTAGAATTGTGTAATTTAATAATGATTAAGAGACAGGTATAACTTATAATGGCAGGCACACCTATTGATATTTTAATATTTTAATAATCCATTTGCTACCTTCATTTTGCAAGCTCAGATTTGTATGTTTAATTCTGTCCTTTTCTCTTTGCCTAAATAAAATGGCAAAATTCCAAGTTAAATATCTTCATGCTTTAGATGTCATACAGCAAATTTTGTCCAAAATCTTTGCTTAAATGTATAGCTTGTTGTACTTTCAGACATCTCAGTTGGAGAGCAATGTCAGAGAAGATAAAATGTAGCTTTAATATGTTTGTGTCTGTTCTATATATAACACCAACAACTTCCTGTGCAATAAGAGACCGGGAGCAGACACGATTCAGGCCCCCACCTGCTGCAGTAGTTTACACTGTGGCAATGTTATCATTAACAGTTTTGCTCTTTGACACGTGGGTCTCAGGATGTAGGTTTCATCTATACCTGCCTCTGTTGAATAATTTGTCCCTCTTAGCATCTTCATATTCTCACTTCCCTTCCAATGCCTTTCAGGGTGTCCCTGGAATTCCAGGAGCTATGGGAGCCCGAGTAAGAAGCTATGATTTTTACTCTTCACTGTCAATTAATAAATGTGCCATCTACTTTTATGAGCTCCTAGTTTTATGACCTCCTATGAACTCATTGTTTTTTCAGGGGGAGCGAGGTCCAGCAGGTCCTAAGGGAGATGCTGTAAGTCTGAATTGATGTTTATGTCCAGAACCATTAAAACCAAGGTTTCGTCATCTATGCATTGACCTCTGTATACATTGTTTATGCCTAGGGAGACCCGGGAGAGGATGGGGCTCCTGGTAAACCTGGGACAGCAGTGGTACGATGACGGCACATTGAATTAGAGTTCCTGATTTCCTGTCTTTGTTTGTATTTGCATTTATATATTAATGCCTCTGTTTTTAATGCTGTGTGTGTCGTCTTTGTAAAAGGATGTACAAAAAGCACTGACGGGCCTTGGGATACTGGTACGTTTCTTCTTCTTGAATTTTTACTTAAAATCAAAGTATATTAAAGACATTCGAACAGGCAAATATTAAATTACCGTACTAAGTAAATGTTAACTTTTACTATGCAAAGGCTTACATATGATTTTTATTGACTATATGTAATATAAGGTTTGTTTCCTTAATGATGCATTGAATTATAGCCTATTTCAAGATGGATTACTAAAACAAAACACATCTTAAATAATCTTTAGCAACAGTTAAACAAATTTGTAATTATTGCGGCTTTTATTAAATCCAGTCAAAGTCTAAAATTATGACTGTGGGTGGACTGTGGGGGGAGTGGCGACCTAGTGGTTAGGGCATAGCGCTTGGAATCCTGAGGTTCTGAGTTCGAGCCCCACTCCCACAGACTGCCACTCTGGCTCTCTGAGCAAGACCCTTAACTGCTCCCCGGGCACCCCACTATGGCGGCCCACTGCTCCCCAAGGGGATAGGTTAAATGCAGAGGTAAATTTCTCCAATGTAAGATCAATAAAGTTCAAATATTATTATTAGTACAGGCCCAAAAATCCACATTATCTGCTGCTAACATTTGAAGAAACTATATTTTAGAAGCACCACAAACTTTTTGTATCTATCTGCAAGTTTCCGTTTAACTGGTTGTCCCCTATTCAAATCAGTAATAGTAGATTTCACTTGAGTAGGTTGGTTTCCTGTCACTGACTCGGCTTTTAAGCAAACATACAAATTACTGTGAAAACACAGGGTCACTATCCAATGTAAATCAAGGTTAGAAAATAAGCTTCTTCTCCGGAATATTTTCCTTGAAGCCCCCCAAAAAATCCTTTTCAAATGAAAAACATAAATACCCTCTCATATAAAGTTCTAGGCTCACACACTACAAAGATTGAGCTAGTTTACAACAATGCATATAAATAATATTCCAAGGGTCAGGGTAATACTCAAAAAACCTAAGAATACTGTTTCAGTCATCAAACATGGTGGTGGCATAATGCTGAGGGCCAAATTCGATGTCAGTGGTGAACTATATGTATATTACACAACAGTGGGCATAGTAATACAGTATTTTGACCTTGAAAGTCTTTTACTTCCCTTGAATTTATCAGTCTGCTTTTCCCAAACTTACTTTTATTAAATAAAATCAGCTAACTGTAAACTTCTGGGACACTTAAAACTTGAGTCTGTTACAGGAAACTAATCATCCAAATCTACTAGTCCTTTAAAAAAGATTGATCCCTTAACCAGAATATTATCAGAATCCTTTTTGATAAAATGTTATTACAGTATATGTATGTATATTATGTATTGTATGTATGTATGTATTTATTTTGATCCTGTTTGATTTACAAAAAAATCCAAAATAAGGTAATTAGTCACTAAATTTGTATGGCTTAAAGGAGCTTAATGCTTTTCTGAAGCTGTGGACGTAAATTTGATATGACCCTTTATGTGAGATCAGAAACATTAGAACTTACCTCTGCTGGTATAACGCTCACTTTTATCTGTGTACAGGTATCTGATCTGAAGGTGCTTGTAGACAGGAAGGACACAATTCTATCTCCTGCAGTGCCAAAGGTTGAAAGGGGTGAAAAGGGAGACAGAGGGGAACCTGGGTCAAGAGGACCATCTGGAGCAGATGTAAGTGTGACTAAGACCTGCTCAGCTCCTCAGGAATTACATCTGCTGTTTTATCACTTCCTGTGCAATATTCAAACTGTTGAAGGAAATACATTCAAGGTATACAGCAGATTGAAACTATGCCTAATACAGCAGGCATCTAAAGAGGAGTTATTGTCACATACACAGTTGAACGTTTTTGTGTGCATTTTCTTTTTATATGTGGGGAGGACAATCGAAGTGTCGTTATACAATGCTACCTTTATTAACTAAGATCACAAAGTATTATACCTAATAACTAAGCAAACACTAAACACTACAGAAAATAAGCTAAATTAAATAAATAAAAGGGGAAGAGGGGTTTAAGAGTCAGTTCAAAGTCTGAGGGATGTTCAAAGTTTAAGGCTTAATGTATTTGAAAGTGTCCATTATAATAGCAGCAGATAAAATGCGAACAAATCCTGATGCAGAGATGTTAACTGCAGTCAAAACAATGAAGTTTCATTTAGCTTTTGGTGAAAAATGAATTATGACTTAGCAATGCATTAAGCTACAATGCGACTGAAATGAATTAGCTCAGCTGGTCCCAGGGGTTCTGGTGTGGACGGGTCCAACTGAAAAATAGACAGGGTTAGCTCACGATTTAGGGACCTCTTAGGGGCCCCGTCACTTACACCTGGTTGGTCCCCTACGCAGTTGTACACTAGGACGTCTCTTTGCAGATGTAATGGTGTGGAAAATTCCTCTTAAACCCACCTGATACTGAAGTGACTGACCGGACCGTATCTATACCGCCACACATGCCTGATTTCAAGATGATGGTGAGCCGTTTAAACATGACACCAATAGCAAAGCAGTGGTACTTTTATTTGCTATGTTAATAACAATGTATTTGAGTATTTTACTTTTTACACTATGACTTAGAATTATGGGTTATGGATTATGATGAAATGATTGAACATATTACGAATGTAACGTGGATGCAGCGTGCAAGACGACGCATCAAGTTAGACTAAAACCAGTGCGTAGATTAAACCATAACCGCTACGTACAATGCGTTAGTGACGATGGATACCAAAAAGAAGTACTTAAGCGGATTCCAGAAAAGAAAAAGGAAAGAAGAGCTGCTGGAAAAACGGAAAAAAACTGCGAAAATAAACATGTTCTTTCAAAGAATGGAAGAGGGAGAGGTAGACGTTGCTGAAGTATGTTCAGCTAAAGGGTGAGTTTATTGCACTATGTAGACGGGCATGGATGTAGTTACATTCTTTTTTCAAATTTCATGTGCTTTAAAATCTGTGCCTGTGCTCATTGTGTTTTACTTTTATATGTCTTTATGGAAAGTTTGAAAAACCTTTCTAAATGGCATTTCAATGCAGATATGCCAAAACGACAGCATAGTACTGTGCACATCTTCATGATGAAGGGAGAGTTGGGTGGTGCTTGATAATAAATCGGTTATTACATAATATTGCATTTGTATGAATGTTTCACAGGCATTTCAGACATAAGCTTAACCTGCAACTAGTGACAATGTTTTTGAATGACTAGTATTGTAAATATCAATGACTGCATGTTTCAAAGATTAACAATTCATTACTTAAGAGAAATTTTGGCAACACACCACAGTAGTAGGATGACTAGTTTTAGTGGGTTCCTGGATTGGTCTGTTGCGCGTCTGCATGCTCATTTTGTCAGTACTGTGTAAAGTGATAACATTTAAAATACACGCTTTGAGGTTTTGGCTCGTCTGATTTTTTCCTGGGTTTTATGATTTCTGCCTATGACTTGTCTGCCGTAAACCTACATGTTTTCATGGATGTGTAGCGGTAAACCAAATGCGTATTCATGGACATGGATGGTGTGCCATCAACATGTTTCCGTGGATGTGGTGGTGCGCTGCCACCAATGGTTACATTCAAGGTGCGCAGTCACACTTTTTCCGTGTGACTAATAATAATTGTAATAATTGTATCTTCTTGGCTGATTTATGCAACTGTCACTGCATCCTGAACCTTTATCAAGTATTGTACTTCATATGGGGCCCACCCAGATAGTGTTGCCTACTGATGTTTCTATTGTTGTGTCGTTACGCCAATGAATCAGAGGGATGCTGATTTGACCTGAGTTGCATCAAAAAGAAGCAAACTGTGTGCCATCTGTAAATTGCAATCTCCTGATTAGCAGCAGGCGGCTGTATTTGTCACATTCTGCTAATTAGTGCTTCTTCTGGTAGAGTGCTCTGGTCATTAGTGAAACGAGTTTAGTGGCTGTGCAGGACTGGGCATTGCAACGGTCATTCATTATAAACTCTGATTAAGGTCGAAAATCAATCTAGCTCACAACAACATGGCAATGCATGATACTGCAGGATTTTGGGGATTCTTCGGAAGAGTTTTTCATGCATATGGTTTCATAAACCCAAAACAATGTTCTAAGAAACATTAACTAACTATACCCCAAACTGGATTTCTAGTATATAGAAATCCAGCTCGAGTTATATTAGTTTGTATGTTGTTGTCTTTGTTTGGTTCCAAGGTGGTCCTAATGTTACCTAGCATATTTTTTATTTTTTAATATATATA